ACATGAAGTCTTTCTCTACCAGCAAAGCTGGAAAGCCGCCATATGACATATACTATGTTGGTGCGACTTAAAACCAAACCAAAAAAATTGTTTCCATTTATTCAAATCTCTATTTCAAACAATACATGTAGATTTCTTTTATATAATATGTTTATAACCACAAATAATCTGAAGGGCAATGCAATCAGTGCAGCATCTATACTTATGCGTTTTGAATTTTATAAATTGCATCATTACAAATACTTATCATAGTGCACAAATACTATAACTTCTGACATCAAAAAGAAAAGTAATTGACTACCTACTTATCAGATATCATTATAGTTCAAGAGGCACCTGCTCATGGCGTTTAAATGTTAACGATATTGTCTAATGAAGTCTTTAATTTTTATAAAGATTATCGTAATATATAAAAATATTTCTATAAAGTTTCTATCCTATTTGTAATAACGGTGAGGTGTATACGTGAATAAGTAAATTTTGTTTTGGATATTTCTTTCACTAACAGTTATTATTACGATTTCTATAGTATTTCTTTTTGGTTCAATTTTATTTCTATTAAACGAAATGCGACAATCTATAACAATTACGTTTGAATATGTTGATGAAAATTAAAGATCCTGTAACACAATTTTTATGGTTTTAAATCATAAATACGATGCTCAAATTAAGATTTGTCAATATTGTAGGTTCCAAAAAGCATTATTTATAAAGATATTATCGAATTTAACATTTCATGTAAAAAAAGGTGGGTAATAAAAATTATCTATAAAGTTTAAGTCAAATGAATGCATATTCATAATGTTTGCAAATATGTGTTTTTCGCATTCATACATGTATATGAATATTTGTTTTTACTTACGACAAGGAATACTCTCCCCTAATTCAATTTATTGTTTCGTATTTCTTTATACCCAAAAACGATATTATTTTATTGCTTAGGTTAAACGCCAATTACATATCAAAGACCTGTTCAGCGTTATCACAATCATGTTTTATTAGCATGCAATTACTCTACCGGTGTATTCATACAAATACCTGTATGCAATCGCCCGCTGTTTCTTTTACTGACAGGAAATCATGCAAGTGGGTAATTACTGCAAATTACTAGGTTTACCAGAATATGTGAAATACGACTAGAGAGATGTAAAAACCCAGCCATTTAATTACCATGATGAATTTGGGTTGAGAAAGTGCAATGCCGAAGAATCCGTTACTTATTTTACAGCAACTTTATTATTCTTATTTCAACAAATTATTCTTTTATTCGTTTTCGTGTACAAATTCATTTTTTTTTCACATTTGTTTCATAATATAATAATATCACGTTATTTGCAAATTATATATTATATTTTAATACTTAGCTATAAGTTTTCTAGTAAACAGACATTTTCGACTTAAGGAAAACGAAAATCTGCGACTAAAACACAGTTGTAAGAGGAAATATAAATGTTTCTGTAATTCAGTTCTGACGGTTTCTTGTTACTTTCCTGTCAAAAAAGTTGTCTCTAGCCTTTTGCTACACCACTGCAAGTTTTAGCGATAGTTTTTCTTCAATCTTTTAAAGTGAATAGGTTTATCATGCAAGGTATGTAATATAAAAGATAATTAAGATGTTAGTATTTAGTATCAGGCATGTACAAAATAACAAGCGACGAAAAAATTATATATTGATGTTGTTATCCAATGGATGCAAGTATCCAATATCACATATATTTCTATATAGCTTCAGATAATAAAATATTCTATAAAAAATAGTATTCATCATATAAATGTTCAACATTCTTTTTCAAACAATATTTTATAGTGATATTCAAATGATACATTTCTATTATTTTTATAAAAGATTAAAAAAAACTAATATAAAATGTGCCGATTACAGACCAATCCAATTTTAAAAGTTATCAATTATAAATTTAAAGAAGGTTACTACGACTATCAAGAAGATGAAAAATTAAGTGTCCACATTATTACAAATGTTCATTTCATAAGCTTCACTGACCTATGGACGTATTCTTAAATATTGTATGACCTTTATGTCCATTGAACCTGTTTTATAGAAAAAATCTGAGTTCAGTTACTAAATATAACGGCCGATTATATGATATCTTTTCAACATTATCCCAAAATTCACTGACATATGGAAGTAGTTTGAATTGTTGTAAGACCTTTTGATCCTACCAGTGAACTGGCTTTACAAATAAACAACTATTTCTGAGTTAAAACGAGTGTAAGATATTTTTTTAAATATACTCATTGTTATTGTTACAGCTGTTTCTTCGTCAAGAAGTAATTATGCCGCTAATTCATATATTATTGTTAAAATTACATGCCACCTAATGCTTACGCAATGCTTTGATATGTATGGTTATAAGGCCGTGCCTACACCGAGTCAAGGGTTGAAGGCAAGTATCATATCTTTTTGTCTTGCATATTAGAAATAACAACAAGACAGCTTATTATGATAAAAAATCTGTATCCTCTAATTGTAGAAATAATTCATGATTCTAAGGATGATCTTGTTAATTGGCCTCAAGTATATTTTGACAGACCAGTTTCACCCATTTACTCACCAGATATTGATATATAAGAACATATGTTAACAATCGGCAATGAAATAATCAAATCTAGGTGTATTCTACAAACAAAAAGCTTATCATCTAGGTATAAGGTATATATATCATCCGGATAAGTAGCAAGTTAACTTACACAACTGTTGTATTCTGGATATCATCCTTCAATGAAAGATAAATATAAAACGGACACAGACCCTTAAATACAGGTTCAAAGGTACATCAAGCTAGGATACCATGTATGTGCTGGGAACTGTTACATAGAACTCGTTCATTTCAGTAAATTAACTGACTGTTGATATCCCATACGAATAAAATATTAAATAATATGTTGAAATAGCCAACAAATATGATTATCTAAGTGTGTTTGACTTCTAACATAGGTTCCCCAAGTAAAATAACGTTACAAGCTAGTAAAGAGTAATGGTACAGGTATATGTTATTTTATCATAAAATACATATTTTTTACTTTTAGATGTTCATATTGTGACTTTTCAGCTTTAACTGATTTAAGAAGACATCAGGTATCCCTTCGTGCATCACTTCAGGAACGAGCAGGCACTTTACAAGTAGAATCACCGACATTCTGTAAGCTAAGTGAGTAAGTATCAATAACTCTTACAAACTTTGAAAAATATTTTACCATTTATGCTCACTTCCCTTGCATTACGATTCATAGTTCGCTTATAATAACATTGTCTCAAAAGATTTATATGATGGTGAATATTAATCATTTAAACAATCATTTTCACCTTAATCAGCGCTATCAATATCATAAGAATGATTATTATGAGTTAATATAAATATTGACATGGGTCAACAACAAATGCCTTTATTTATGTTTCGGGTTGAATAGGCGTGTGCTCAACAAATTGTGCGAGGTCAAATTCTTGATTGTTTATTTGTGAGTAGTAACATGCATTATATTACAGATTAAGACAAAGATGTGCTGTTGGAGGATTAGTGATTTTAAGGCCATCATATCCTTGTAATGGTGAGGCTAAAATTGAGTTTGAATATACGTGAATGCGTGTATTTCTGTTTTCCAAACTTGACATATTATACATTAAGATCAGTGGTGATCATATCAGATGTTTTTGAATTGTCGCCGAAATGCTCGTTCATCAGATAAGTGTGCGACAGGGTAATTACATGCTTTACATTACAGGTAGTAATTTTAGTAGTTCATATGTATGTTTACGATGAAATATCTAAAATGCTGATTTTTAAAATTTCATTTTATAACACAAAAACAAACAAAGCGTACGCACGTCCGTTCGTCTATACGTACGTCACATATTCCTTGTCGAATCAATAAAGTCAGACAGAAATTAGCAATCAGCAGATTTCGATTTTGCAGAGAGGAGAAGGTATAAGGTCAAAGGAAACATAGAAACTTTCAAATTGTAATAAACTTTCAATCCGTTTTGTAATAATTATTACAATTTGCAACTTTATTACAAAACAGGTTGTAACAAACATATCCTTGGACACCAAACGTTTTAGACTAATAACTTAGGATAACGTTAAGTATTAAAATATTAAGATTTACTATATATAGATTGTGAATGATTAATTGATGATATCAATCCAATTCGAGTTCAGAAGGTCAAAAATATAGGTCATCGAGGTAATGCATACTTAAAGCATATCCGATTGGTTAACGCTTTGGTCTCAAATAAATTTTGAGGTCAATAGGTCAAGGTCAAAGTGAAGCGTTAAATATTTTTTTTTCAAGAACACCAGTCCCCCTAGGCATAAATTATTGAAACACATATTTTTATAATAAATTATATTTGTTCTATGTAAGTCACCGAGGTTCTTGCATTACATATAATTATATTTCTTTTATTCAGAACATATTGTTTCTGTTTTTTGTTGTTTCTGTGTTTTGTTGTTGTTTTTTGTTGTTGCTGTTGTTTTTTCATTCTTTCTCGTAATTACCTTTTTTCCATTCATATATTTCCCCATTTCTTTCAGCAATTATTAATTTTTTGTTTTCTTTTTTGTTAATTGTTTAAATAAAACGTTTTATTATTGCCATAGTTAGCATGTGATGGTTGACATACCGATTGCAAATACTGTACATATAAAGGAAAAGTGATAAAATCATCAAAACTATGCGTTTTTAAAAAAAAGATGCGGGTCACTGCATAAACTCATTAAAGATATGAATTTTATGTAAGGTGTACATCAAGTTTTATAATTAAAGTACACGGTGCAATCCTTCAACAAGGTGGATTTCAGAATATTTACTGGTATTTTGTAAGTACTTTTTTTAATTTTTTTTTTTCGGATTTTTTATTATTATGAAATACTATTGATTCAGAAGATCGTTATAAATTTAGTGGTGGACATTTTCTAATGATTTTAAATAAACTAATTTTACCATTAATTTTGCATTTTTTTAATTGTTTGTCAATCATGGTTTATTCGAAGATAATATCAATGTTTGTTGATATTTGTATTCAATGTTCTTTACAGCTGTGAATTTAACTCGCTGTAAGGTAAACATTTGAGTTAAAAGTTTTACTTCTTTCTTTTCTTAAAATGATGTTTTTTTATTGTATATGTCTACGATAGGTCAATTTTCCTTAGTATTTAAAATATCTACAAAAGAATAGAAATGTATCATTTGAATATTCTTATAAACTGTTGCTTGACAAAACAATGCTAATGATAAAGTTCTAAGTTATTTAGAATGAACATGTATATGATAAATAATTATATTTTGTTCTATAACATTTTATTATCTGCTATAAAAGATATGTTATTACGCATTATATATCTCACACTTGCCAACAACTTCCATTGTGGCGCTGTTGTATGTCGCAACGTCGCTTAATGTCGCACTTGCCGCTAAATGTCGCGATATTTCCACTTAATGTCGCAACCGCCGCTAAATGTATCAACATATTTTTGCGTTTTATATCGCAATGGTGACGTTAAATGGCATAACACTAAAGTTAAGTGTCGCAATATTCATGTTACACAATTTGGGTAAACGCTATGTAAGTGATAAGGTCACTAGCTATCAGACAGAAAAGGATTTGCTGTGATGTACAAAAAAAATAGTTGAAATTGAAGTCATCTTAGGCGGTATTATCATAATGCCAAAGAGCCTCTTGGTGATAAAACACATTTGTTTTTCGGTTTTTCATCAAGCAGCCCAAATGTCGTGGATTCGAGCTACAACATCAGCTTAAGATGGATCTAACACACTTAGAAATTCATTCTACTAGAAATATTCAATTAATTAGAATGTTTATATTCTGTGTCGGCCTTTCAACTATAGCTACAAGCATGTTTCCCTGCGGTTTTCAGTATAACAGGTAATATACTACATGTATATATATATTAATATTTTGCCACAATCAGATATTAACAGTTGAACAAATTTGATTGATGAATCATGCAAAATATCAACTCATTGCGTCATTTTTGGAGACTGTAACAGACATGCAAACTAGCTCTAAGTGAAAATGCTACAGTTGTAGGCTATCAGTAATGGCTGAAAATGCCCTGAAAGTAGCTGACATTCTGACCGAAATTCGAGATCACTCTTATTTTTTCTTATTCATATCTTAATATTTTTCCACAACTAAAGCTTTAAACTAGTATTCGTAATATTTTTCTCATGACATAAGAGATGTTACAGCTGCATCGAAACACGTAAAAAGATTTTAAAAAATGTGCAATAGTATTTGTTTAAAGTTTGTATGTTTCCTCTTATCTAAAGCAATTGTGAAATATGACCTAAAAGGTTTCGTACGAACAAGAACACCTTTAAAAATATTTCAAAGAAAAGTAGTTATGAAACTAAACACTTCCTGCGTCACTGCATCGCGTAGTTTAACAAAAATGCCCAATTATTCAAGAATATTATTGCTTAAGATTTAAGTTACCGCCTCAAGTTTATTCCTTATAAATTGAATTAAAAAGAAAAGTATGTTTTGTAGAGTTATCAAAGATTTTAAGAGATTTTCTCATATTACAGTATTTTACATTGTAACGCGCCTGAAGTTTTTCCTAAAAATGCATTTGTTTTTAAATCAAGATTTAGTAAAATTTCAGCAGAATTACAATTTTTTTGTACTGTATCCGATTTTTTTTTCAAAATGAAAAACAAAAGTAAAATCAAAACTAACCTTTTTAAAGCAGTGAAATAATTTAAACATGATACAATGTAATATCTTAGATACATATTTTCGAATATTACATGTAATTTATGTGTTTCAAATATACGTTAAAGATGCGTTAACACATGTTTTTTTCCGAATTCAATTATAAACTCCGTATAAATTCAGGCAGATTTGTAATCGTATATACAAAAATTTCACCGAAAACGACGAATTCATATATTTTGTTATATAAATTATTCAGCCTTGGTCCGCTTGAATCGAAATAATTTAGAGGGCGTTCACATCCGGAATTCTGATCAGGCTTATTCATTGCTAGTTGCATATTTTTTTTGTATTTTGATATTGAAATTAACATTCTGTGCATTCATGAAGTTAAGAACAATGTTCAATATGTTTGAGAAATTGAAAAAATGATAGGCATGGTATACAGGTAAAACAATTATTTTAATTTTAATTTTCTATTTAGTTAAATTAAGTGTATAATGCTATATATCTGCGGCAAAAATGTTGTTGTTGTTTTTTTTTCTTAAAAAAAAAAGAATACTTCTAATATGCTTGTTTAAAATACAATGTAAATATGGTAGTAAATACAATAACACTTTTTTGATTAACGAACAAACCCCTTCTTTAAACAGAAGCATGATATTTTGTTTCGGACCGTTTGATTTTGTTTACGTACAATGTACTTGTGCGTCAAATAACAGAGACATTCAATGTTACAACTCTTTTGAGAATCGCCATAAGATTATGAAAACAATATGACGTTAATGTTGATAGATGTTATTGAAATATTTTATAAGATATAGCTTCATACCCTTTAGATAAGTAGTTAATGATACCAAGAATTAAAATAAACTTCATAGTTTATATTATTCTTGAAATCCAACTGTGTGAAGAACTTCTACATTTGTTTTTATCCGACTTGATAAATACAAAGAATATGAATTGTATAAATGAATTTTATGACTTATACATTTGTTTCGGGCCGTTTCGATATTCAGTAAAATTAGAGCTGAATGTTCTGTTGAATTTTGTGCCGGCTCGACCTTAAATCCTTAAGCTCAATATAGTACTAAATATCCTGCGATAAATGTTGTGCTAAATGTCCTTTGACATATAACGGTGGCACATCCACTTGTCAGAATCAATACATCTGAGAAATTTGTAAAAATAATACGCAATGTCGCATGTGAGATATAAAACGATTATTTGTCTATAAGTTTCTTTTTAGTTACAAAAATGATAAGTAAAAATTAAAGTGTATAATGCTATATGACTGCTGCAAAAATAGTGTTTGAATTTAGAAATTCAATTGGTGACACAGCAACAGCTACACATTTACTGAATGTTTAATGTCAATCTTCTTGTCTATAGTTTTTTTTTGTTTGTTTTTTTTTGCAAATTTAGCGTTGCCGGATATTTTGTAACGTCGATTATCTCATAACAATTTTTAAGCTTAAATTTAATCTTAATTACATATTCTATATGTTCTCTGGACTGGAAAGATACGACAGCTACAGACATATAGATTAAAGAATACGAAAACACTCAATTATACATAAAATTTAAAACATCAAAACAAATTAAAAAAAATATCATATAAAAAAGAAAAAGTGTTACGTACATACCTGTCGAAAAATTTCTTTCCAAAACTGTAAAATTGACAACAAAATTGACAGTAATTATTATATGCTTTAAAGATCACGCAAAGTAAAAAAAATATCGTGTGGTTTTTAAGTTATGGACATTTTTCTGAACTAAAACTTTGCTATTAGAAGGGCTCTTTTTCAGAAATGAGGACACTTTCCTATAATATCATCATTACGAAAAATGTTTTCCTATTGATTATTATTAAGAAAAAAATCAAAACATTCAGGTAACAAATAACAAGAGCAGAATAATTGATTCCAAAGAAAATGTTTTTAATATGTATAAAAATGCTACCCTACCCCACCTACTTTAAGCATTTATTTGACCATTTACCTATGTAAAAAGCCTTATTCAAAATATCCCTTAATTTTACCACAATGAGGGACTTTTTTGTCTTACTTTTTTCAAGTATATTGGTTGATATGGTAATAATATAAAATACTTCTTGTAGAATTTCTTGTTACAGTATTAAACTTTTAAAAATATCTGTTATCATATCTGCTATTAAATTTGTCATTATTTAGCAAATATCTATCTACAATAGTTATATTATTAAAACAATCACTGTTTTATTTCCATAAGGGATCTGAGAGATGCATAAATAATGTAGAGTAAAAGCGTGGGAGTAATCAACAAAACAAGAACCCATGTCCGTTACCCAAATCATTTTCTTCCCTTGTACTGAAAAAGAAAATGACCAGGCGACATTTAACGTGCCTAATGTTCACATTTTCAAAAAAGAAGAAGAAATTCTTTGACCCTTTAATCTTTGCTAACTCGTCATTTTTTAATCAACTTTCCTAAAAAATACAAATTTTGCGTGAATGTCACCCGTAAAAAATTGTCGACATTCAAAATTCCGGTTGAATTTTTGAGTGTTTGTAAAAACTTTAATTAAAGGGGTGGAAAATAAGGTATAGGCGACAACAATTCTTTAATCCGCTTTGGCTTTAGCAGGTTTCGTATGTAAATATAAGGGATATAATAAAGAATTACCTGAAAAACACATTTGAAGCAAGGTGTTTAGGCAGCCATATTGTCAGTACGCGATTCCGTAAGAGTCATGTGATTCCCTACTGTGCTATAGGCCAAGGGAAATACTCTTTTGTGCACAATCTCCATCACGTGATTTGAACCATATATTTTTACAAAGGCTTGTATTTATTTACATGTACTCGCTTTAATCATTTTTGGAAAATGATGATGATGATTTTTTTACTTTAGTTTTTCGTTTTTTAGTGATTGTTTTACATATGTCCTGTATCACATATGTCCTGCATCAAACAACACAGGATTATCTACCGTTTACACCGGTGCTAGAAAAACCTGTCTTACACCCTTATGTAACGTTCGATGAATGAATTGCATTGTTAGGATGTAATCATTTTACAGTTATAAATGAAGCTGTAAGTTCATACGCCACTTAAAGAAAATACGCGTAATGAGAATATCAGTTTTCTCATCGATAGGATACATGCAAGAGAAAGAATCAAACACCAGCTGTCGGTACAGACGGGAATAACTAGCTATCGGGTAACTGTTCAGCGGAAACTCGGCAGTTACCCTCGAGCTAAATATCCGGCCAGTGTAAGATTCTTATAGTATTTTATTTTTGTGTACTTAATTGTTGAACAAATGTTCAGTCATTATCATTGGCTTTATATGTTAAACTGAAGTAACATGTCAATAACCAGTAGCAAAACTAAGCATGATTTATGGTAAAAAAGATTAAGAGATAAGAGATAAAAAATATCTAAAGTAGAAGTAATATAAATTTAATAATACGTTAAATTGACAGTTTTTAAAACATTTTACCCTTCTCAAAATATAATATGCGCTCAAGCATATTTTTAAATTTGGTTAAAGATAAAAAAAATATTGGCTAGTTTACTAACCGTGCAACGCGCTTTTGGTATAGTTTCGGCGTTACATTTGCGTTGTTTTCATATTCCTGGGTAACTGAGTATGCACGACTTAGCTTTAGTAAAACCATAATAAAACATTTGGCATGGTAAACAGTCAGTTATGTTCTCTCGTGTCTCTTAATTCGACAAACTGGTTGAACAGGGAAGAACAAATATATATTATACTTATGTTATTTTGGTTTTGGAGTGATAGATGTGGATATATTACCTGTCAAGATTTTATACCACCCGAGCCGTTAGGCAAGGGTAACATTTTATCTTGACAGGTAATATATCCAGTTCAAACACTCCAAAACCAAAATAATAATTTTATTACCCTTCCCCTGCCGAGTAAAGACGATTTTAAAATAGACCTAAATAAATCATTGCTACTTCAAATGAAACGTCGAAATAAGATTACCTTTAGGGTACCCCTTCACCACTACATGACGTCACATTGATATATTTATTACCCTTCCAGATCGTTTCCTCCTTTCTGTTTGGATATTGGTTACCCGAAAGAAATTGATTTTACCGAGCCAGACGGGTAATATATATACTTATTTCCCCCGTTGGGTACCCCAAGTTGTAAACAACATGCGCTGTAGCGATGTGCGTACGGTTTTATTTTACGCGATGTAAATTCCGATTTACAAGCACTTTTTAACTGTCAAATGATTAATATTTACCAAAATAGAGTAATGATACATATTCTCACCAGTATTGAAAACAAATATGACCTTGTGAAAGCTTGATATTAATTCCAAAAAGTACGTTCAACAGACTACTCCTTATCTCTTGTTTACATTCGTTAAGTTCGAAAGAAAATACGTCATGTATTTATGTGAAGTCATGTTTAGGTGAAGGGGTACCCTACAGGGAATGTTATTTGGACGTTTCATTTTAAGTAGCAATGATTTATATTAAAATCGGCAGAGGGAATAAAATTACAAAGAGATGTATAAATGTTTATTCTGATTGCATCTAGGAGATAATTCAATTTTCTATTGATTTACACCGGAAAAGTCACGGTAAGGTTTATTCAAGAATGATTTATAAAGGTTTTATTATACAAGCCTTTAGGGTAATCGTGTTTACATTTTGGAGTCTGCAAGCTCTACTTTATTGAGACTTGATGGTATACGGTATTTTTTCAAATACGTAAAAATTGTTTGAAAACCATTTTTTTGTCGTTGCAATAGATGTCCCATTCGTGTTTAAATATTAAAATACTTTTGATAGAGTATTTACAGAGGCGTATCACGTTAGGGGCAGGATCTGAACCCCAAGCGTCTGTGAAATCAGCCACCAAACAGAAGTGTATTATTATAGGAAACCTTAGAAAAACCTATGACCGCCTCCGTGGTCGAAGGGTTAGAATTGATGACTTCTAATATAATTACCTCTCTGACGTGGGTTCGATCCCCGGAGATGTTTTGGTAGTTTAGCACGGAGGAAGGTAGTCTAGTGCTGGTGTAACTCTTCAGGAACGATGGTATGGAAACTACCTGCCTATATGTCTGAAATACTGTTGGGAAAAGGCGTAAAATAAAACAAACAAACAAGAATAACCTTTGTATACGGCGAAAGATAGTTCTTATATTGATTCAAACATTGTGTAACTGTTCCTATGGTATTCATTTGCACATTGCAACATTGTTTTACATTAAAGGGGCAACAGCAGAACTCAATGATGAATGGGGCAATCTTAGTGCTAGTGCTGGCTATGTTTGGGTGTTGCAACGGGTATGCATTAGGTCCGCCTCTATCAGTCTGTAGAAATATGACACCTAAACACCCGTTTGAACCACAGACCATTTCCTCTCCCTTTACATTCACATTGAATGCCACAACTTACCGGCCGGGTGACGTCATCGAAGGTAAATCTATAAATAACCTTTATCAAAAACGCTCTGAAATACTAGTCTATGCATAGAAATACGTATTACAAATATAGAAAAAATATTTCTTGTGTATATTCCGTGATATAACTTCGAATTTAGAACTATTTAGAATTATTGTTAATAAAGGACATACTATAGTGTCAATTGTAAAATTTCTTTCAATATTTTTATTGATTTTCAAACCAGCTTACGGTGTATATAATATTTTTTTCTGGTTTCTATCAATATGAAAATAGTATTTTTAAGCTGTTTTCATTTCAGTATTTCTTAACTCTTCTGGTGACTGGTTTATGGAGGGAACATTGATACAAATGCGTGTAAATAGTTCAGGTTGTAGTCAAGATGTTCCTGCAGTCGGAACATTTTCTACTGTAGACAACGACGTATTTCTGGAGACGTTTAGTTGCTTCAACATGACTAAGGTAAGTCAAAAGTACAGCAGTAGGTCAAACGTACAGCAGTACGTCATAAGTACAGCGGTAGGTCAAAAGTAAATCGGTAGGTCAAAAGTACAGCAGCAAGTTAGAAATACAGCGGTAGGTCAAAAGTACAGCGGTAGGTCAAAAATACAGCAGCAGGTCAAAAGTGCAGCGGTAGATCATAAGTACAGCGGTAGGTCAACAGTCACAGCACCAGAATCCAGTCTAACAAGAATTTGTAACAGATTTACAAACGTCACCCGCCCCGAGAGTTTTATATGAAGCATAAAATTGTGCTATTTCAAAAGATTGAAGTATGGATCTCAGGACATTCAGTCAAAAATTATGATCAATGCTAGATCTGCAAATGTAACAATACATTTGTTAAAAAGATAAAATGAAACACGGAATTTAAAAATCTATCATGTTAAGCTTTGACCTCTAAGTGTGACCTTGACCTTGGAGGTAGGGAGCAGGTGTTGTGCATGACATAACGTCTTATTATTGAGACTATTTGTGCCAAGCATTTTCAAAATCCCTTGAACTATGAAGAAGTTATAGATTGGACACAAAATATACCATATAACAGACTATGTAAATCTTTACAAAATTTAAGGGAAAGACTTGCAAATTTTAATGTCTAGAAAGAGAATGATGTATATAATAAACAGAAAATTCAAGTTTTTTCTATAAATTCATGACTTATTTTCATCTTGTGGCATGAAAAGTACCAGATTTCACTCGTGAGTACCGCCACTCATGAAATATTTATTTGAAAAAACTTGAATATACTCTATATATTACGCAAGATACCAACAAATGTTTTGCTTTGAAAATCCAATAGGCAGCGTTTATTTAGAAAGTTAAGATACGTGCACAAACACCAAGTCTTTTCGTCAAACATTTCCAGATATTAATACCAGAATATAAAGTCAACTTGATTGTTCAGTTGGTTTTTGTTTGTGAGTTTGTTTTGTTTGTTTTTTTTTTTTGTCGTTTTTTTTGTTTTTTTTTTGTATAATTATGGCACCGGGTATATGTATTGTACATTTTTTATACCTAAATGTTATAATATTTAATACATGTGTATTTTTAGAGCGCCCTCCGCCACTATTCTCACTTGCATATCTACAACAGAACATTTTACTGGACAGCTCCTAAAAGATCAGTTGGTAATGTGTATATAAGGTAAGTAATGTGTACATGTACATACTTTAGATCTTACACAAGTCGTCATTTTATTTATAATTCTATTTTACATCATGTACTAATTTTACGTCATGTATTTTTTTATCACATAAACCAGGCGCAGGAGTGTAATGGTTTCACAATTTAATTCAATTCAATATTTTATTTGGCATTAAACTACATATTGCATATAGCCATTACGTACTACATAATATAGGTAAAGTGAAAGACACTTTTACAATAAATTGTTTTCAGAGAAGTACACTAGTGAAATAACACTTTGACGTGACGTCATTTGCGCTATATATTATTACAAGAATGTTACACCGGCTGCCGGTACAGACAGGAATATCTAGCTCGAGGGTAACTGTATACAGCGGTAACAAGGCTCTGTCGAGTTTCCGCAAAACAGTTACCCGAGAGCTAGATATTCCAATCTGTACGAACAGCCGGTGTTTGATTACATTTCTTTCATATTACGTGTCAATTATTTTCGGAAATTACGAAAACCGATATTCTCATTACGCTCTTTTTTCTTATAGTAGCGTATGAACGTACAACTTCATTCATAACGGTTAGTGACGTCATCCTAAGAACGCAATTTATCATAAAAGGCGCGCAGCAATGATGTCATTTAAAGCACCCGTTTTGTCTTACATGGGAGTGTAAGACAGGCTTTTCTAGCACCGACGTAAACGGTAGATAATCGTGTCTGATATGCAAGAAAGGGTTTTCTAACATCGGTGTAAACGGTACATTATAAGAATCTTACACCGGCTGCCGGTACAGACCGGAAATCAGAATATCTAGCTCGAGGGTAACTGTTTACAGCGGTAACGAGGCTGTGCGGAGTTTCCGCTAAACAGTTACCCGAGAGCTAGTTATTCCAGTATGTACCAACAGCCGGTGTTTGATTTTTTTCTTGCATATTATATGTCAATTATTTTCGGAACAGAAATTATGAACATTGACATTCTCATTACGCACTTTTTTGTTATAGTAGCGTATGAACATACAACTTCATTCATAACGGAAAAATGACGTCATCATAAGAACGCGATTCGTGTATAAAAGGCGCGCGTCAATGATGTCATTTGGAGCGCGCGACTTGTCTAACATGGGGGTGTAAGACAGAGTTTTCTAGCACCGATGTAAAAGGTAGATAATCCTGTCTGATATGTAAGAAAATCCTATCTGATATGCAAGGAAATTTTATTCAACGAGTTCAATAAATTCAGTATTAAACTTACACTCATCATAGCGTTTAAGCGCGCTAATGTTAACGTTACACTATAGGTGCGTCGATAAAAAATTACTCTTTTAAACAGTTTAACGTTCTTGCTTTTTATATGCGATAAATAGAATATTATATTCGTGTAGATTCAATACTAAATTTATTTAACTTGTTGAATTAAACCTCAAATCATTTAATATCCTCTCAAAAATACTAACCATTCCAAATGAAGCTGGAGTTTATAACGTTACCGTGATGCAATGAACATTCATATTACGTTACCGTGACGTAACCATGACGTAATGACCATGCTATGCTAATTACGAGATACATGTATTAAAAATATTCGCATCATTTTGTGATGATTGGTGTTGAATATATATCATGGCCATTTATCTGTAGCGAGTAAAGATTTGAGATAAGTAGTTTGTCACTTGCGCAGAAATTGGTACTTAAAACTCATTTGTTGTTTTGGAGTTAAAAAAACCGTCAAGCACACGTATCAAAACCCAACACCGGTATAAAATTGCTGAAAACCCCCGCACAGATCGATATTCCTTTTGAAACATTTGTCTGTTGCGTTCGATAAGGGAAATCATATCACCAAGGCGTCTTAAAACCGAGTTCACTGTTAGTTTTCGAGTTGGATGTAATGGAACCGGAGTACTAAATTATTTTCAAATTATTTGTATATTACTTCTATCGATGAATGAAGCTTGTTTTTTATTGTTTTAAAATTCTTTTTTTTTTCCAGTGCGACAATTGTAAGAAATCTGAAAACGTTTTGGTTAAACGTGACGTCACAGATTATAGAGGCCGAAGAAGCGTGTGGGGCGAAACAAATTGTTCTTACCTCTGCTGTACTTTTTGTATCATACTTTTCTACAAGAATTCTAACTTAAATATAACAGTCTGATAATGAAAAAGTTGATGAAGTTGATGAAATTATATAAATAGTTGACACTTGGTTAGACAAAAGAGGGAAAAAAGAGTTATATTTACCGTATATAGAATACTCGTAAAATGTTAAAGGGACTCCACTGAGGTTTAAAAGCCTAAAAACATAACATTTGAATTTCTTACATAAATGAGCTGGGGCACTTTAAACAGAAATGTATGCAAAAGTAGTAATGAAATATACTTTGAAATAAATTGAAAATCGTATTTTCATGTTTTTCGTATTCCGATTTGAGTGAAAAGTGTTAAAACGCTTTTTTATTTTGGGTCTTTTTATTACAATTTGAATAATTATTCTGGAAAAACGAATTGCGCGAAAGATCTTAAATTTTGCACAAATATTAGTGGTCTAAACATACATCAAATGGTACATTTATCTGGAAAAAATATTTTCAGCCCCATCATGCCAAAAAACCTCAGTAGAGTCCCTTTATAGTTGTAATGTCTGAAAAACTTCACCATGTATCTAAAGCTGACAGTCACCATACCATCACAATAAGGTGCACATTTGAGCTGCGTCACGACAAAACCAACATAGTGAGTTTGCGACCAGCATGGATCCAGACCAGCCTGCGCATCCGCGCAGTCTGATCAGGATCCATGCTGTTCGCTTACAAACCCTATAACAAGTAGAGAAACCGATGGCGAACAGCATAGATCCTGATCAGACTGCGCAGATGCGCAGGCTGGTCTGGATTCATGCTGGTCGCAAACTACTTATGTCGGTTTTGTCGTGACGAGGCTCATTTGTATATAATTGTGCACATTCACATTATTGTAGGGAACGCTGGAATAATCCTTCTATTAAAATTACTTAGGCTATGCTCACAATATTATGCGTGTACCTTAAGTTCATGTCCACAAATAATGTAATATTATTGTTTTGGGAAATAAAAACAATTTTTCATAATTATAGTAAAATTTTGAAATGGAAAGCACAGATTTTTGTTATTATTTGAACCTTGAAAATTCAAACAATATAACTACCCTTGTACATTCAACGTCCACGAGTTTTCATGAATATCAGTTTAATGCCATGACAAACACTGCTACCTACTTTGTGACACATCTTTTGAAAGTTCATACGAGTACGAGTTTCTAAAAATGATTTTTTTTAAATCAAAACAATATCAAGGTTATGTTAAAATGCATTAACATGCATCTCAGTTGCTTCCAATAGTTGTTTTCAAGCACGGACTCAACCCTGAAATAATCTTTATGTAGCTGCAATTAACCACACCCCAACCCTAATCACAGAGGAATTTCCGCTAAATGGCCGTGCATTGCGTGTTTGACACATTTTCCGCTATTCAAATGCCCAATACACAACTCCATTCTGTGCATTGTGGGTTACTGACGGAGAGTAAAACATCTTTTTGCATGCACAAGATTTAAACGTAAAAACTGACATGTGTTTGTAGCGTTTTCTCTTTTTTTCAAGAAAAAGGATCAATAACCATTAGCATAAATATCATTGATACAGACACACGTTTATGGTTTTGAAAATAATAATCTTAGACTTACAGAAATATGTATTCATCTGACAAGTATTTCAGTTAATAGGAGAATAAAATTCTATTTCAAGGGACGTAATCAAAGAAAAATGTAAACACAATAATATATCAGTAGCCTCCCTTGATTATCTTACTATTTATAGGATATCTTTTTTATCTTCGGGCCCGGAAGTAATGAACTTGGCCATGTATATCGAACACATCACGACACCTCATTTAATGATATAAGATAAAATGTTACACACTCTGTTGAACACAAAATATCTTTGATAGACAGTGTTTAAAACGTTTATTTTGAACTATTTGATACAATTTAGAAAAATAGACTACATTTTGTATTTCCATGAATAGCTTTTGAATAGCTTTATAAAAAAATTATCATTTCAGGGCTCTAAAATCTTGTACATGTACAATTGAATATCGTGGTGTATCCGGGAATGCGATTTAGATTTTAAATACACACTGAAAATGATTAAAAACTGAATGGAAAATTACAAGGCATATTTTCAACATAAAATAAGAAGACTATGATTTGAGATTCTTTCAATAAAAGGTGTTTGGAAAAATATTGCAAACAACCATTTATATACGGCCATGTAACCTGTCAGAAACATTGTTAACGAATTAATAGTAGAACAAACATCTGTTTTACGAGGTAAAAGTGAGATTTCTTCATAAATTGACATCCGTCGTGTAAACTTCATGATTATCCAATGAAAAGCGACGTTAGAAACGTGCAATATTATACTTATAAACATAAAGACATCTATTCATCCACTATTAATTAATTTATTTTACTCTCAGATAAAAAATATATATTTCTGAAAGTTAAATGTAGAATCTAAATTTTTTTCCACAAACAAGATCAATATTGACGTTACAGTTTAAGCACATAATTTTGACTAATAGTTGTCTGCGATCTCGAAATCAAATCATTTTACAATATCAAGTTAAATGTAAAATATATCAAAAGTCGGTATAAAGTAAATCAATAGACAGTAGTGTATAAAGTAAATCAATAGACAGTATAAAGTTAATCAATTGACAGTAGTGTATAAAGTAAATCAATAGACAGTAGTGTATACAGTAAATCAATAGACAGTATAAAGTTAATCAATTGACAGTGTTAAGTTAATCATTAAACAGTTAGTCTGTATAAAGTAATCAATAGACAGTATAAAGTTAATTAATAGACAGTATTAAGTAAATCAATAGACAGTATAATGTAAATCAATAGACAGTATAGACAGTAAAATGTTAATCAATAGACATAAACCAATAGTAAATCAAACGACAGTATAAAGTATGAAATTCGAAGAGATATCAAACGTCCTGACAAGAAACATTGTGTTCTAACTTCTGTGTTTTTGTTTTTATTTTTCCAATTCAATGACAGTGATCACTGTGAAAATAATCACTATTCAGCAACGTGATTGAGACATCACAGTCTAACACTTTCCGTGCATTCATTGTTATTAGATAAATAAGCTCGCTCTATTGAAGGGTTTAGGTTAACTACATCATCGGTATGGCTGCCAACACTCTTTGACGTAGAAGTAGAAGAAGATCTGCTTCTAACGGATGCTATAGTAGATGTTGTCCCCCGTCTTCGTGGTGTAAAACCACTGCCTCCGAATAAGCCCGACTCTCCGACAGGCCGACATAGAATTAGGGCTTTCAGTTCTGCGCGATACTTCGAACCACTTACAATATATAGCACGAAGTTAAAAGCCGAGTTGATATAACCGAGCAAGTTTGTGATCGCCTCCACCAGCTTGTAGACTTCCCTCAGTCTAAAATACTCATAGATGTCAATGCACTGCAACTCTGTGATCGATTCCAGCCAGTAAGGTCTATAGATATAAAAGATCGAAACTGGAGTGAGGCATATAAAAAACACTACGCTTAAAAGTATGAGCATAATAGTCACTGTCCTGGTGTCCCTGCTACTTGTTTTATGACTTCCGGTCTTGTCTATACTGATGTTCCGCCTGATTTCGTGTGTTTTACGCAGTTTATAGATAATTGTTACATTTGCCAGAAGCAATATACAAAATGGTATCACAAAAACAACTATAAAGTCAATCCAAGAATACGTTTTTGACCAGAATGTATTGTAGCCTTCATATAGCGGCTCACAAAATCCTCTGTTCCTAAAAATCAGTAGATCAGAACGTCCATATCCGTACAAAATATGCGTGTTTCCTCCGAATATGACAAAGGAGAGAATAATCACCATGATCACAGAAGACCGTGGAGTGCAACCGAGCCTCACTCTGTGCGGCCACACAACGCATATAAAACGCTCAACAGTCACAGCAACAAGGACCCAAGACGAGAGTTGGAGACTCGAGTACGTAAGATATACCGAAAACTTGCATCCTATTTCACTTATGTGTCTAACGTCCTCATCCCACATTGCTAAAATCCAATGTCGTAACGGGGCATTTAGTAAAAACAAGGTATCCGAAATTGTCAATGTTAATAGAAACACCGCTGTGGATGACAGTTTTCTTCCATGCCGCAGTAAAATTATTAAAGTCAGTATATTACCAATAAGTCCGACTGAAATAATGATTGGTGGTACTATTTTCCATAATCTTTCGGCAGCAATGAGGGTCGCTCCAGGCGGAGGAGGACCGGTGAAGCCTGGTGGTGGCATACAAGGTGGTCCTTGCGGCTGTCTCATATGTTGTCCTTGTTCTGTATCGGACATCCCACTTCGCGTCGTGTTAGAAAACATTCTGAACGTTCAATATATTTCTATTAAACAACTCACGACTTTAGAAAATATACATATCTACCTTGAACACTGTTTGCAAACATAAAGGATGTGTGATATATATGAAACTAAAGGAGACATAATCAGTTACATCTTTTGATACCTTTTAAGATGTTTTTTTTTTCGCTATAAAGTATATCATTTTATGCCCGAATACTGTTGCCATAGTTGAGTTATCTGCGTCATTTCACACGTTACTTCAATAAGATTAGGTTGATAGCCAGATATATATTGACTAAAATATAATTTAGAAATATTTCAACCGGATATAGACACATGTCTCATATTATTATTACAAATTATTTCAACTTCGGTATTCTTTTTCAAAATCTGTACTTTTTTCCCAAATACATGGCACCTAGATATAGTTCTAAATTATATAAAGCTTAATATCAAGGTTTCGTCACACCTCATTTTAAATTCAAAGGTAATGCAATATCCGTAACGTACATTGTGTTTATATAGACAGTTTAAAAAACGCTTGTGGGTACCTATTGAAATTTTATTTGAAATGTTCATTAACCTTTAATATATTCACGCCCGGCAAAATGTCGCTCCACTTCAAAATTGTGGTGTACGGTAAAACGAGCGAACGGCATTTCCGAGATAGAGCGAAAGGCCGATTTAAACGAATTAATTGTAAGAGTTGTTTATGTTTTTGTTTTGTCTTGTTCTGTATCTTGAAACATAACTGAAACACTAATAAACCCCCTGTCCCGGGTCTCGTATCCACTTCCCCTATGCCCCTTTACTTTGTGAGCCTGTTAAGCAGTCATTTATCTTTTTTCTTTGTTTTCCTTGTCGATATTTATGATTTCTTTTTATGTTTCATGTTATATTAAGTGATTAACCTCTCCGTGTTCCGCATTGCTCTCTGTTCTGTTTTTGTTTTAGGGGCTCCTTGTCACCGGTTCTTGTTGCTGGGTCGTGTGGGGGTGGCGTTCTTTGGACGCCGCCTTTCCTTGTTGATCTTGTTTATCATATTTCATATCCTTAGAACGACTGACACTTTGTCAACCATTTTCATAGAGATTCCCCACCTTACAAAAGTCTTTCTATTTCATGAAAACGTGGCTTATTTGTGTTTGATCTAAACATGTACGTTAGAGCTATTAATTTTAGAAAGTCATAGTAAAATGAACTCGGCAGTAGTGATCCATTTATGTTCCGCGTGAATTGCATAATTTTGTCTCTGTACTGCACATTAAATATCTAACTTCTCGAAAAACATAACATTTGGCGGGAACAATTGCGTTACATGTACGTGCTCGGAAAAATTTGTTCGCGGTAGAACTGAAAATATTCGATTTTGTCGAATTTGCACGGACACACTTTTTTTAATGTACATAACCGTGTCAAAAATCATGATTGACCTCGAATAAGTGGCACCCTGTTTTACGCCATATGATTCAATTCTAACATATTTTCTTTCAGTGATGAAAAAAAAATCAAATTCTTTGATAAAATGAAGCATGTAAGTATATGATTTCTTTTCAAACTTGACATAAGAAAGGAGAAAACAATTGTAATCATAATGAAACTGGTTTCTAGAACAGTAAAGTCCTGTTTCCGTTTCTGTTCAAATATGTTTTGATGCCGTTGAAATTAAATTTGCAGATATGTAGTACAACACTATGAATGTGTCAAAAAAGAAAGCTCAATGAAATTGCGCTGGCGGTGGCGAAATATATGTATTTAAACTCGATTGCAAAACAATCTCTTGCAACTTATTTTTATCACTTACGAGTCCGCTTCCTGAAACCAACCAGTACTGGTGTCATATGAAGATAAGAGCTCGCGCCAATGATCCCTGGGTTGAGAGGCAGACATCTTAACCACTAGGCATAAGAATAAGGTCTACAGAAATAAAACAATCATCATCAATAACAACTTCATCTTCCTCCCCCTCCTTCTCATTAACCTTCATCATCAGAACATCATCATTATAAGAACATGATTTTTCATTATCATAAGAACATGATTTTTCATCATCATAACAGCATTATTTTTATAGTCGTCTAAACAATAATAATAACAACAACATCATCATCAAAATCCTAACTTTACCACCTCCATCATTATTACCACCATCATCAACATCATCATCATTTTCGAAATCATCATCAAATTATCGGCATGTGATGATATTGATGAAAACGTGCAAAACACTTAGCATAAAATGATAAGAGTTAATAATGATTTTTATAATGACAATGATAATGATCATCATGTCGATAATAATAATAATAATAATAATAATAATAATAATAATAATAATAATAATAATAATAATGATAATGATAATAATAATAATAAATTATTACAATAATAATAATGATGGTATTATTAATAATAATAATAATAATAATAGAATTAATAAAAATAATGATAATAAAAATAGAAATAATAATAAAAAAAAAAATAATAATAATAATTATAATAATGATAATAATAATGATGATATAATAATAATAATTTCAGAAATAAATTAAAAAAATATGATAATAATAATTATATTATTATTATTATTGTTAATAATAATAACAATAATAATAATAATAATAGTAATAATAATAATAACAATAATAATAATATATATAATAATATTGTCGGTTAATATCTTTTCCATGACGATTATATTGATAACTATAATTCAGCTCATGATCAGACTCTACACAGAATACAATTGAAATATTTCATTACAAAAAGGTAAGTGAGTGGTCAGTGGGTTTTCCCTAACTGAATAATTAATCATTACACTTGTCATTAAAAAGAAACATAGAATTTAAAAGAGGCAGTTATTTGTCAGTGACCAGTTGCAAGTTTGCTGGTAGAATTGAAAACTAATTTAAACACGAGGGAGGAACTGTTACATGATGGATGGAGTTCTTATGATAACTTGTAAGGAGTTATTGTGAAAACTGTCGCGGAGTTCGTCGGAAAACTAATTACCTTTTAATAATGCAAAATTGCAAACATAAAGCCCTGGCTTACAAATTGATGCCCGATTTTTCATATATCCTGGAGATCTTGTGATAACTCGGAAGATGTCCTACAGTTGTTGTTGTTGTTTTTTTGACAACTTCTGCCAGACTGTGTTTCTTGCGCTCAATCACGGCACGTTTAAGTGTTGTTTTTTATTATTCAGTAAGGTTATAGTTCATTATGAAACGCAGTCACTCATCCTTTGCACAAAAAATGAGGAAATATTATTTTGAGAATGTATTTATTCAAGAAAACTATTATTTTCCCCCCTTTCTTGTCAAAGTTTTATTTACAGATTTTTTGCTGACCAGATTTTGGAAAAGAAAAAAAAGGGGTTATGTAAAACTTTGACTTGCTGATAAAATGCTCCTTGAAAAAAGTTTTCGTGTTTTACATTTTTAAAAAATTTTGTTACTTGGTGCAAAATTTGGGAAAGATACCATCAAAATACGCTTTTTATTTTTTAACCTTTTTTAAAAAAAAAAAGAAAAAATATTTTAAAAACAAAAAATATACTTATTTATCATAAACCCTCCCCATGTTACAGGGCCACAGCCCTGCCCAAAAAACCCAAATAATATATTAAGGATTTTTCATTTCTTGTTTACGACGTTTTTTTACCAACTTAAGTCGGGACCCTATTCGTGAAAAGCGAATTTTCCTTTTTCAAACTGATCATGTTTTTGAAAATTTAAAATTCCCTTGGGTTTTTGCTGATTTTTTCGCGGGGAGCTATATGCGTAAAAAAAACTCTCCACAATAATTTAACAGTGATTCACCCCACACCGAAGGTTTTTTGGAAAAACTTTTTTTTCCCCTTCCTGAAAATAGCGGTCTTTCACAATATCCCGACTTTAAATGCTGGATAATTTAAAAACAACATACTTAAAAAGGGCATTGAAATCAACAAATGGAAAAAACTTTTATTTTCTGCATGATTTTCAATAAACTGGATACAACTTTATTCATGCTATATTTCAAAAAATGAAAACAAGATCAAAAAAGGGGGCCCGGCGTTCAATAACGAAACCCCTTTTGACCACAACAAGAACATGGAAAACCCAGGCGGCCCCCAAACAAAAAAAGGACAGGGCACACACGTTAATCATTAAATGATAAATAATTTGTAACTGATTAGGAATTCAAAGAAAAATAATAATAGGCCCACAAAGGGGAAGGGGACAGGAGACCGGGGGAAGGGGGGGGGGGTTAATCAAAGAAATAAAAACTAGAGGCAATGGGGAAGATACTTACCGTAGACGAGAAAACAACAAGGGACACAAGCAAAAGTGTCACCAAAAAACAGTATGAAACAACATAGACATACATCTGAGGAACACAGTGGGCGCCGCCTTGGAACGGTCAGCAGCATAATAATGACTGCTGGGGAGTTTTAAACCGGTTAATGGTGCACCAAACCTCGCTCTTAGCCCCACCATGTTCCTATAAACGAGACAGTGTAAATAAAATGAATCCCCGCCAAGTGAAATTCTAACAGTTGTCATGGTTACAAAAGGTTAAATAAGTAAAACACTAAAATGATCATGTAGAAACATATAAAAGTAAACCAAATGACCATAACAAAAGTACTCAATGTCCTAAAGGAAGACAGAGCAACAAGAAAAATCACCTACAGAGGCCCGACGAAGCAAGGCAGAAGACGAACATTAAGACAATTCAGTCCCAAAGGGCTTTACGAAACTATCCATCATAGAGTCTCCCACTTGGTCCGTCAGATGCAATCAAAAGAGGAAAGCGTAGTGTCCAACTGTAAAAGGGTTGAACACTAAACATGCAGTATGTCTTAAAATAGTAGGGTCATAACCTCTTTTAATAAAACGTTTAATAATTTTAGTAAAAACAGCAGAAAAATTACCATGACCCAAAATCTTACGAAGTTTGTAAACCACATCGCCATAAAATGGAAGATGGAAACAACTTTTATGTCTTGCATGCTATGTCAATAAACTGGATTCAAATTTTACGTCATGCATGCTATTTCAATAAACTGGATACATCTTGTATGACATGCGTGCTCTTTCATACATGGATATAACTTTTATACCATACATATTTTTTGAAATAAATTGGATACAACTTTTATGTTATGTATGATATGTCAATAAACTGGAAAAAACTTTCATGTCATGCATGCAATTTCAATAAACCTGAAACGTCTTTTATGCCATGCATGCTATTTCAATAAGCTGGATACAACTTTTATGTCATGAGTGCTCTGTCATAAAAAGATACCACTTTTTATCACACATGCAATTTCAATAATCTGGATACAATTTTTATGTCATGCATGTGTTTTCAATAGTAAGAATGGAAACAACTTTTATGTCATGCATGCACTTTCAATAAAATGGATGCAATCTTTATGTCATGCATGCTCTTTTAATAAACTGGATACAACTTTTATGTCATGCATGCAATTTCAATAAAATGGATGCCATTTTTATGTCATGCATGCAATTTCAATAAATTGGATACAACTTTTATGTCATGCATGCAATTTCAAAAAATTGGATGCAATTTTTATGCCATGCATGCTATTTCAATAAACTGGATAGATACAACGTTTATGTCATGCATGCTATTTCAATAAACTGGATAGATACAACGTTTATGTCATGCATGTAATTTCAATAAAATGGATGCAATTTTTATGTCATGCATGCATTTCAATAAACTGGATATAATTTTTATATATTGCATGCTATGTCAATAAATTATATTCAAATTTTATGTCATACATGCTATTTCAATTTTGCTTGTTTGTCTGTTTGTTTCATTTTACGCCTTTTCCCAACAGTATTACAGTCATATAGGCGGGTAGTTTCCAAACCATCGTTCCTGGAGAGTTACACCAGTACTAGACTACGTTTCTCCGTGCTAAACTACCAAAACATCCCCCGGATCGAAACCCCCAGAGAATAAATGGTTTGAAGTCATCCCACTCTAACCCCCCGACCCCGGGGGCGGTTAAAAAAACTGGATACTTTTTATGAATGCTGATCTTCATAAATGGGTAGAAAATTTTTACCCCTACATTTACTTTTTAAAAACTGGGTACAACTTTTATTTATTTATTGTCAATAAATGGAAACAAATTATGTTTGCATGCAATTTTTAATAAAATTTGAAACATCTTTCATGTCATGCATATAGTTTCAATAAACTTGAAACAACTTATATGTCAAGCATGCTACTTCAATAAACTGGATACGACTTTTATGTCATGAGTGCTCTGTCATAAATAGATACCACTTTTTATCATACATGCAATTTCAATAATCTGAATACAATTTTTATGTCATGCATGTGTTTTCAATAGTAAGAATGGAAACAACTTTTATGTCATGCATGCTATTTCAATAAACTTGAAACATCTTTTATGTCATGCATGCTATTTCAATAAACTTGAAACATCTTTCATGTCACGCATGCAAATAAACTGGATACGATGTTTAATGTCATGCGTGCTCTGTCATAAATGGAAACTACTTTTATATCATACATGCTCTTGTAATAAACTTGCTACAACTTTTATGTCATGCATGCAATTTCAATAAACTGGATTCAAATTTTATGTCATGCATACTCTTTCAATAAACTGAACACAATATTTATGTCATACATGCTATTTCAATAAACTGGTAACAACTTTAATGTCATTCATGCAATTTCAATAAACTGGAATCGACTTTTATGTCATGTATGTTCTTACAATAAACTGGACACAAATTTAACGTAATGCATGTAATTTCAATAACCTGGTAACAACTTTTATGTCATTCATGCAATTTCAATAAACTTGATTCAACTTTTATGTCATGTATGTTCTTTCAATAAACGATATACAACTTTAATGTCTGAAAAGTTGCCGTTTCTAGTAACATTCATTCATGTAAGACATGATCCAACGAGCATTCAGATATGGAAAACATTTAGTCGGTTTAAGCTTCCGCCATTATGTCAGCCCATAACAAGCCTTTTTAGTACACACCCTAGGTTTGACGCTCTGGCAGACCCTAAGGTTGACAGCATTTGAAAATCTGGTTTTCCGCGAGATGATTTTTCAGGGAGTGGAATCAGAGACCATGGAAAAAAATAATATTTTGAGATTTTAGTAGACATTTCGTTTACGAGCAGCTACATAATGACTAGACTAATATACAGCAAAAAAAATGATGTAAACAAGCTTAATATACTTGTTTATTAATGTCAACAGTTGCTTCGCAGTCATTATCACATCATTCACTTTATAGATCGTATTATGCATAAACCAACAACAAAATAAAAGGAAAGTGAAAAATAAACTATAGTCTGTTTGAAATGTGATTTTGCCATCTTATTTCTAAAAGCTTGGTAAATGATAAACAAAATTTTGGTTATGAATTTAATTATTATCTTAATATATCTTTATGATAATCTATATTTTCGGGATCGGATCAAATGTTGTTTACATACCGGTAATCATTAAAAAACAACACCTTCAACGTTACTAAATATATCATCATTATCTTAATGATCCGACCGAAGAAACTTTCAATTCAATTTAACTCAAACGCTTGTAGCATAAAACAATAGATACAATGCCTATAGCACAATGTAATTTAATATTTCAACAATAACAACGTTAAGCGATCTCACGTGATAATGTCACGTGATAAATACATTTCACATAACATTGTGTTTCACACATTTCTTACAGGTAAGTCGTCATCACTGTTCGGGGTTTTATTTAAAACTGCTGAATTATTGGTTTAATTCATGTTCCTTGCGCGTTCTTGCGTTTTCGAAACCACTGTTCAAATCATTCTTACTCTAATGTTTATAATTTTGAACTCTTAACTTAAAGGTTTAATGTCAAAAAAATATTTTGGTAATACTAAGTGTACATTTTGAAATGATTATCACTTGCAAAAAAAAACACTCATGGTCAATATACAGTACACAGACAATAGGCGAGTATATCATTGCTTGCTCAGAGCTTATTCTTCTTAGGTCTTAGATAGAAGTCAGATGTCGAACATGTATTTTGAAACCGTCGAATTCAGACAGCCTGAGGATACACGGTGAGTACATTTTGCATATTAAAGATCCTGTATGTTTTTATTAAGGATGCTGCATTTAAGTTAAAGTTTATATATGTATATAACTAATGTACATGACTATTCTTTTACATCCTAGAATATGTTAAATATGTACATTGTACTGCAAATGTTTATGCACATTATAAGTAATCACTAAATTAAAAATATACGCATTTATTTCTTATTGAAAAAATTGGCTTAGACTTTATCGAGAATAAATTTCTAATAACCTCCCTTTATTTACATGAGATGTAAATTCAGTAATATTTTTTACAAATAATGCATTTTGGAACTTTCAATATTGATAAATCTTCATTTAATTACCGGTATTATATTTTATGATATAAAAAAAATACAAAAATTTGAGTTACAGGAATTTAAAAAATTTTGTTCATATTGTTTAAAGCTACGACTTTAAAGGAACTGCACTGAGGTTAATTAGCCTAAAAACATAAAATTTTATTTTTATTGTTTCACATAGGTCAACATGAGCACTTATTACAGAAATATGAATAAAATATATCTAAGTAATATACAAGAAATACATTGAAAATCGTATGTTTGTGCTATTCACTGTCCGATTCGAGTGAACAGCGTTTAAACGCTTTTCAATTTGGGTCATTTTTTCACTATTATAATAATCATTTTGGAAAAAAATGGAACGAGCTAATGATCTGAAATCTTGCACATATTATAAGTTATTAGTATAGATCTACATCAAATCAAGTAATAATCTCAAAAAAAGAATATTTCCAGTCCCGTCATGTCAAAAAAACCTCAGTGGAGTCCATTTGTTACAATATTTTGTTCGTTTTTAATTAGCGATGGGCTACAAATAATATTGACTTTGTGATCCAGATCATTACGGGATTTTTTTAGCCCAGAATAAAAAAAAAGTTTTATTATAAGAAAATGTTTACGAAATATTCTTAAACTATTTGAAATCGTATAGACTTTGTATGGTTAATTTGTATGGTACCGTATTAAAAGCCTTTTCTGGGCGAGTAGAGACATACTGAAAATCTATATTGTCATAAAACTAATTTCATAGTTAGGTTCTTTTCAAAATATTACATCGACAATCAAATTAGAAAATTAAAAACATGCAACAACGGTGTGTGCTCATGTCATCATATCCGTTAATGCATATTTTCTTCTTGCGCGGACATTTTTACGAAAGAATAAGAGGCTAATACACGGCAGAGTATGGCCGGGAAGTGAAAATCGGCCCCAAAAATGAATAAGGCCCAGATGGTACTATGCATTTCATGGTCAATTATCACCTTCCGCCCGTCTCTGACAATATAAATGTCTTTAATCTAATAGTAGCAATACTTTAATAACTGATAATTCTGTTGTAGAAAGTCCAGTCTCTGCGCAGTAAAATATACAGAGTTGTTTCACTTTTATGCAAAGTTCACTGGAATCAAGAAGTAAGTTTTATTTTCTCTCTTTAAAATTCAAAAATACTGTGTATGTACAAATTACGCTTAACAGTTCTTAAAATAAAAGCAAACGATCCGTGCTTAAAGCCTACTAGGTGTTTTGATTACATAAAATGTGACGTTATTGTTTCATTTTTTTGCACGCGCTCGTGTTCAAAGGGCCGATAATGATGATTCGGCTCCGTTTTTCAAACTCATCAACGGTCAAGTGACACTCATTGATTGTTCTTTTTTTCTTACAGCGTCTTTTCATCAAGATTGGCTTTGAGGAGAAAGTCTGCAACTAGTCTCCAATGCAACAAAATACGTGTACTAGTTATTGGCGCTTCTAGTGTTGGTAAATCGACGCTGATAAAACAGTTAACGGAGAAACGGTTCAGGGAGGATTTTTCCATTGATGATCGCAATCAAGACGATGAAGGAGCAATGATAGTCGAGTTAATGGAGATAAATGTTAACCTTGTGGACACATTGAAAGAACTGGCAATTCAAACAGCACAAGCCTATATTTTGATATATTCATATGAGAATCCGGTGGAGTCGTTTGATTATATAAGCAAAATTAAGCAAGAAATAGACGAATTGAAAGGGGATGGGATGCCGATTGTATTAGTTAGTAATAAAGCTGACACTCCGCACGGACAAGTTCCGCAAACGAGTAAACAGTCTGAGGTTTATGTCTGGGGATTGCCTCATACAGAAATATCACTTAATACTGGGATGAACATAGGTGAGGTATATCGACATCTTTTCACTCATCCTATACTACAGAGAATGATAGACGTAGTTTCATTGATTAACGCTTCATCAGTTGCATCCTGTGTACGTAGAATGTCGCTCCCAGCTTTCCATGTTCAGGAGAGAAGGTCATTTACCTGTATAAAAGTACCGTCAGAAGGAGTACCGGAAACACTGTCCGAGAATACACCGGAAACTAAAAGACAATTCCCAGAAACGCCAACTCTGCGAAAACAACCTACATCTAAATGGTCTAAATTTCAGCGCTTTTTTGCAAGACTTAAAGTAAGAAAGTAATAAAATAGAAATAAAACAATAGGGGATGAATATAATGAGTGTGAAAGACACTGACATGTTCTTATAACAGGTTTATTATACAACTGTTAAAACATAAAAATATCGTAAATAAGCCTTGTTATACATAAACGTAACCACAGCATCAGACAAAAAACAACTATCTGAATGAAAAATAGAGGGCGATCTCTTCATCAATAAAATCGACTGGTATTCCGTCAGATTTTTATTTCTGTCTTGTTTAGTCAGACCGACCTTATAATGGTCTCATGGTGACTTTCCAGGTACACTGATTGAGAAAGATTTAAGGTGCCCCTCCGGGTTTTTTTCAGGCATTAGCGGACACCTCCCTAGAATAACCGACGTTTCGTAAGCTGACTAAATAAAAACTTTTACTTTTAAAAATCCCTGGCAGATTCGAGCACACAGAGGTGACGGGCAAGTGGTAGGAAGTCAGCGACCTTAAAAGAAATCGACAACTGTGAAACAAGTTAAAGAAAATCAGATGGGTATTACCTTTGCCGACCGTTTAAACTTTATACAAAGAGAAAATCCTTAAATAAGATTTGCACGTTTTAGTTTATATTAAACTTACTCTGAGTTTTGTATATACGTTATACATGTATATATATGTAATTTTTTTTATTTGTCCAATTTTCATTCGCCTATTCAGATTTCCGATAATTGGTTTATCTCTCTTGTTTAAACTACGCTTTGGCATCAGAGATGAAACTTAATTCATGCGCGTCCGCCATTTCTTACGAAAGTGAAAGCAGATCTTTGTGTGTATTTTTTTCATAATTTACGGACATTCTTCGATCTTTTGTTTAATGTGTCTCATCGTGTCCTTTGGATAATGGTAATATAGACCAGTAATGTATATAAATGTATCTATTTACGACTACTTTTCCGTATGTTTTCTGTTTCCGGGCTGAGAAACAAATAACAATTAGACGATATGTCCGAGATCAGATGTCATCCAATTATTATGAAACAAAACAAATCTAAGTCCAAAAGCAAAGAAAATATGCTAGACAAAAAAGTTAAAATAATTTTTTTTGACAGCCCCACTTGAAAATTTCTTGGACGTAAGAAACTGTTGCTCAACCCATTTGTGTTATATATCTGTTTCATTTGTGTTTTTTGTTGTTATTTTTTTTACATGTGCTGCAATAAAACAAGTTTAAACTACAGATTACTCGAGTTACTTTATTCAACAGCTAGCAATAGCTACAACTTTGCTTTTCTTCCGATCAAAGCAGTATCATTATTATTATTATTTAGTGTTTCTGCCAGAGCGCGTTTTTGCGTTTTTGGCGCACTATTTTCAGCCATGACGCAATGAAATTTAGTTAGTGCGTATTTTGTGACGCAAGAATTTCACCGTCGCTGATTTCAACACAAGTCAGATATACAGACTATAAACCGTCAATTCAGTATAAAAATGTACGGAATGTTTACCGTGGGCTCCACTATAATTTTAATGAGAAATGAAATTTACCGGGTCCGTGGTCCGGCATTTAGCCAATTTCAACTAGTTAATAAACGCTTGCATTTATACGTTACTGCATATATTGAAAGCGCCCAGACAAAATTATTTATTTTGTTGTCGTCATATTCTGCGAACGAATAACTGTCTGCTGGAAAATGCAGTCTGCGTATATGTTAGTGTTCATCTGTGCTGTTCTACAGAAATTAGAAACTTCGAAGGGAGCGATAGCGACAGGAGAATGTTTCTAATTTCTGTAAAACAGCTAAGAATGAACACTTACATATTTAGTGTCAAGCTTTATTTGGCCCTTGATTACGTCACTAGGCGGTACTATGAAGCACTATGAAAAATAGAAGGCGACTATGAACGAATTTCAATATAGTATCGACTTTCTTTCTTCTATGAAAATTAACACACATAATTTTTAAGAAATACAGCGTTATTATTGGATGACAAATAATCCAAAATAGCAGAGATTGACCAATTTCTTCACGAAAAATATACAAAATATTGTAAATAAAACTTATAAAGTGTTACCTGTTTTTTTTTTTACATTTTTGTTAAATTTATTGGCATGACCCTTATGAATTTGAAATGACCCCTAAAATATCATACAGGGGGTCATAAAAGACCCTCAGAAAATCAGAGCTGGCAGAAACACTAGAAAAAGATTTAATTCTATAATTCAATCAATGGAAAAAAGTTGAATAAAACAGTCATCTGAGCTGTTGTTTGATATGGCAAGTTTTGTAAAGTCTTTTGAGATACAAATCGAGTGCGGAAAGTTGATGCGAAGTTTTCTGAAGCTCAAAATTTCTCCAGAAGGCGACAATTGAACCAGGCAGCATGAATCTTCACAACAAACAAAGATGGACCCGTCTTTGCCTATAACTACGCCCCGGGGGCCTTGTATCACTTTGTCTTGAACCTGCAGTTTTTCTCCTGTTCTTGGGTTGATAATCGCAATGGTATTTCTTGCATAATCCGTCAACACCAGTATTTCAAGACTATGGCAATAGGCGCATTTTGTTTCTCCAAGTTTGTAATTTTCTCTGTCAAAGTCGACATCGAAATTAAAAAACTGGTTAAAGTCTTTAAGCCTGCACACCGGTTGGGTTTTATCTGCAATACCAAGAGCAAAAATGTTGTCAACTACCAATGATAAAGAATCGCAAGGTGACAAAGTTTCAATTCTTTTTTTGTAAGTTAGTATGTTTTCAGAGTTCACTTGAAAATGATCTATGAACCGTTTATCCCCGCTAGAAATTAGAAGCTCGTCATTTCCAAATACAAGAAGATTCTGAGGAGCATATTTGAGACGTTGCTCTCCGATGACATTCAAAGATGCACTCATGATGACACACTTTCTGTCCACGTGATCCGCTAACGCAAGTCTGCCATTTTGAAGAAAATCCATCCCTATATAAAAATGTTGAAAACCTGTACTTGATCGTTTATGTGTAGTCGTGATATGTCTAATTTCAACTGGTTTTGGCTCCGGAAGGAAGTCGGAGTCGACGTGACTAGAGTCGGTGTTTAATTTTCCTAGTTCATTAGGGGCAGTTTTAAGAAAGTCTAATAGTTTTTCTGAAAATTGAACAGAAACAGTATCTCCAACGTTTCTTAGTTCTGCTGCTTGTAATTTTATTTTATTTTCATAGCCGTTTAGTATTTCATCCATTTTCTTTTCGAAAACAAAAGTTTGCTCCGGTGTCATGGACTTTGGTATACTTTTAATATTTGTTAGCGTGTTTTGAATATCGCTTACGACTGCAGATGTCCGGCTTTGTATTTCTTCTAAAGAGGCCATTCTTTTACATTCAATACTTTCCCCCTCTTTTAGCACTGACTCTTCAAACCTGTCAATCATATTAAGAAACGATTTCCTTATATCGTCTATGATGCTAGGCATTTCAGCCATTTGATTTTTAACGCAAGACTTCCGTTCCTCTGACATAGATGATATTTTTCTTGCATCATTTAGAAGTTCTTTAAATTTTGAGTCTACAGTTTTACGCTCTTTTCCGGAATACTGGTGTTCTATTGAGACTATTCTTTTAACATTACAACATGTCCGATGGGTTGTTTTGCGACAGTCTTGACAGCATAGCCTATTGTCCTGTTCACAAAAGTATTCATAAGTCAGCCCATGCATTTCACATTTGCTAATTTTTGCTAAGTCTAAGAAATCATTTGAATGTTTCCAATCGTCAATGCCAAAAATCACGTGATGTTCCATTACAACGTAAGTTTCATGGTCCTTGGAACAAATAAGACACTGAATTTCATCACAATCGGCACAATATATGACCGCTTCTGAACGCTTGTTTTTTCTTGAACACGGCTGACAGGGTGAATTTATGTCACCAGTATCAAACAGAGAATCTATCAAACATCCCTCCGCCATTTTGTAACGTTTTATTATAGTTCATGAACACGGTTTACATACTTATTCCCTCCGCCATTTTGTAACGTTTTATTATATTTCATGAACACGGTTTACATACTTATTCCCTCCACCATTTTGTAACGTTTTATTATATTTCATGAACACGGTGTACACGCTTATTCTTTTATTACATTACATTATAAATTAGTGACATCTTATAAGAGCTAGAGATAGTCACACTGAAGATATTTGTTTAGATTTGATAAACCACTTCACAGTCAATGAGCACAATAACTTATTGTTATCTGTACAACAGACGCTAGCGGTGAACTTTTATCACAAACAAGTTTTACACAAGTCACTTGTCTCGATATCATATGACATTGTCAAATCAACGTACCGAATAAGGAAGTAAACGAAACAATTTTGGACAAATTTGCTTGATCAAGTACTTTGTAGATTACGCATTTTGTGGCTAATAAGAAATTAAGTTTTATGCATAGATACAGATTGAACTTTACAGACACTTTGTTGGGAGATAGTACGGATAAAGTTTTACAATATAAAGAGTCTTGATTTTACAATCTGTCCATCAAATTAAACAAATCGTGGCATGATTTATAAAAATGATTCAACCTATCTAGCCAGTCCAGAGAATTTTTTTAATAATAGTTTTGAGCATAAAATCAAAGCTTGTGATAAATTTTAATTAATCTGCTAATTAATTAATATTTTAGTAGTTATCAGTCAAATAAACATAAAACCATGAATATTTACATACATATAGTCTTATTTTAACAGCAATCACATATAAAAACTTCATACGTTAACGCTTTATAATCATTTGTCATACATTAAGTAATCCTTTAACATTAATAGTTTATTCATTGATTCATTAATCCTTTATTTTTCATACATTAATCCTTTATTTATCATACATTAATCTTTTATTTATCATACATTAATCCGTCCTCTACCCCTTCATTACTCCTTTATATATCATTTATTGTACATATACATTTATCTTATATTTATCATACAAACATGATCTTTCATTTATCAAAGTTACATTAATCCTTTCTTTATCCTACATTTTATCCTTTACCATACATTTATCTTTTTTTACCGTACATTATTCCTTTATTTATCCTTAACCTACTAGTGATAAGCCTTTGCAACCAGTGTAGAACCAGGTCAGCCAAGAATACCGTGCAATCCGACTTGTCTCTACATTGTTAGTAACTCATTGTGTATTTTGAATATGAAATCCTTTAAACTTTGAATAGACCGTTCCATACTCAAAGCTTGGCAATTCGGTTACAAAAAATAGCTTTTTTAAGAGTTTTTTTTTTAGATTTAATGCCTCAATCAGTACCATAGGCTAAACAAATAGCAGGAATAAAGAGAAGTAAGCATCTATACACATGATTTCAATAAATATGCCTGAATTAATTCCCTTGCATGATTTAATTAACATGATTTTTTTGCACTTATTACATAGATTGCATTCCTCTTTTGGATTCCCATAGAATCCCGTTTTCTATAACATTAGGCGTCAAAAATGTTTAATAATAAATATACACGGCTATAGTCAATTCACGGGGCATTTCTTTCTTTTAAAAAGACGTTTGCAGTATTATAAATTCGTTACAAAGATCTTTACAGGCTATATGACCGTATATAAACGATTTTTTTTGCAGTTTACACTTGAACTCTTGTGGTGCAAATTTCCGAAGATGAATAACACGACACTCTTCCTAACAACTTTTATTTCTTTCGCGATTCTTGTGCCTCTTTTAAGGTATTTCACATGAAATTTAATTATTTGATAACGAAATGTGGTAATCGGCTTCTTATGTAATAGTTACAATACATTGTTATATAAATCCATTGTAACAAAGTAATTTTGTGGCTGTTTTATTTAAAATGTTTATTTTGTTGTTCTTGTTGCAGTTTCTTTTTTGTTGTTCTTGTCTTTTTTGCTTTTTTGTTGATGTTAGTTTATTTTCTTCTGAGTTTAAAATGCATGATTCAAGTCTAATTGATCAATAATGTCGGCGATGAAACGATTACGGAGTACAGCCAACATCCTAACCCAGTAACAAGACTATTTGAACTTGTCTAATGGATTGGAATTAACGAGTTTCCGGCAGTCGCGGCCGGTCAGTGCAGTAAAGTAGGCCGAAAACTAAGTGTCGCACATTTACTGACCGGCCTATTCCTGTCAGATGCTTGTCAATGAATCGATCTTGTCATGATTGCTAAGAATTTTATATATTTAAGGCTTTATTAAGCGGTTACATGCATAATCTACTAACGCGTATCGATCCCATGCTTTGCAACATTTTCAAATAAGTCGTATAGAAAGACCATCACAGTTTCCTTAATCCGAAATGCAAATAGCAGGTTTCAGAATAATGACTACTTTGATGCGATCGAGTGTTGAACAATTTGCGAATTTTGCAATAGTGGGCTGTTTTCTAAAACTTGATCAAATTGTCTTGAGACAAGATACCATTATTTAAGAAATACTAATAATCAATATATATTATGATCATTTTGATGCCACTTTTTCAACAGAAATCCAAGTTCGAACAAATCACGTAAACTAAAACTGTAATGATTAATTGATAATACTGCAGTTTTCAAAACCCGTAAATTTTCAACAAAATAGGTTTATTGTTATCACTTACGTTTACAAATTATATTTAATAAACTTTTTAAATCTACTCTTTCGCCGCTAGAAAATGTTTTACAGTTTTCTCAACAATTATTCGTCACACGAGGTGAAAGCACATTATGCCACAGAAACAAATTAATTTGTACTTCTTGAAATAGTTAAATAGAGCCAAGTTAAGATGAATTTTATAATATTTGAATAATCGTTTTAGAGAAATTTTAAATGCTTGCTACTTAAAAATAGTAGCGATAAATATGAAATAATTTGTCATAAAGGTAGTAAAATGTAAACAAAGTAGTTTGATTGCCATGTAAAATACTAATTCACTATAACAGTTACCAAAAAGCAACAGATGAAAATGAGAAAAATATTGGATACTATAAAAGTGCACTATCATTAAAAGCTTTTGAGAAATAAAAATAAAAACATTGCTGAGGTATAATGGCATAATGGGCCTAAAGCTTTTATTCAACCAACCGAAAATAATTGAAGATGACAATCATCTGCGCTGTTGTTTGAGATAGCAAGTTTCGAAAAGTCTTTTGAAATACAAATCGAGTGCGGACATACTATGCCTAAATAGAATGTCAAAATATCCCCTGAAGGCGACAGTTGGGCAAGACAACAGGAACCTTCACAGCAAACAAAAATAGACCCATCTTTGCCTATCACTACGCTTCGAGGGCCTTGTATCACTTTGTCTTGAACCCGTATCTTCTCCCCTGTTCTTGTATTTATGATAGCAATGGTATTTGTAACGTAATCAGTTAACACCAGCATTTCAAGACTATGGCTATAGACACATTTTGTTTCTCCTAATTTATAGTTTTCTCTGTCAAAGGTCATTTCGAAATCCAAAAACTGGTTAAAGTCCCTAAGTGTGCAGACTGGTTTAGTATTATCGGCCATTCCCACTGTAAATGTGTTTTCAACCATCAGTGACAAAGAGTCGCATGGTGACAAAGTTTCAATTCTTTTTTTGTAAGTTAGTATGTTTACAGAGTTAACCTCATAATGGTCAATAAACTGTCCTTCTCCACTTGAAATTAACAGCTGGTCGCTACCAAAAACAAGAATATCTTGAGGAGCATATTTGAGACGTTTTTCGCCAATGACTTTCAACGATGTACTCATGACAATACACGTGTTACTCCTGTTGTCCGCTAATACAAGTCTGCCGTTTTTTAGAAAGTCAATTCCTATATAAAACGGTTTAAACCCATTTACCGACGGCATAGTTGTATCCTTGATTTCTTTGAGTTCAACCGGTTTTGGTTCCAGTAGATAGTCTGATCCTACATGGTCGGTAGCTGTGTTCAATTTCCCAATGTCTACGGGGGAAACTCTCAGAAGGTCTATTAGCTTGTCCGAGAATTCAATAGAAACAGTGTCTCCGACTTTGCTCAATTTTGTTGCTTGCAATTTTAACATTCTGTTATAATATTCAAGAATTCCCTCCATCTTTTTTTCGAAAACAAAATTCAGCTCTGGTGTGATGGATCTGGGTAAATATTTGATATTTATCAATGTACCCTGAATGTCGTTCACGACCGCGGATATCCGATTTTGTATTTCCTTTAGTGTCGCCATTCTTTCATCTGCAATACATATTCCCTCTTCGCGCATTGTCTCTTCAAACTTGTCAAGCATATGTAGAAGTTGTTTCCTAACATCGCCAATGACGCTTGGCAATGCAGCAACTTGGCTTTGTACACTTGCTTTACGAACCTCGGACCTAGAAACCATTACCTCCGCCTCATCTAGCAATTTTTTAAACTTCATGTCAACACTTTCGAGTTCTCTTGTGGATACACGATGTTCCATTGTGCTTAACAATTTAACATTGCAACATGTCCGGTGTTCTTCATTGCGGCATTTCTGACAGCAAAGCCTGTTGTCATACTCGCAAAAGTATTGATAAAACAACCCGTGTATTTCACATTTGGTAATTTTAGCTAAATCAAACGAAAGGCTGGAATGTCTCCAGTCTTTGATATCAACAGTCACGTGATGTCCCATTACAATGTAAGTTTTATGGTCCTTGGAACAAATCAGGCACTGAACTTCATCGCAATCCGCACAATAGATGACTGCCTCTGAGCGTTTGTTATTCCTTGAACACGGATTACAAGGTATATACAGGTCAGAAGTTTGATCGGAATAATCCGCTAGACATCCCTCCGCCATTTCATACGATGAATCTTTTTAATAAAATGCTACAATGCTATTAGCATTACGGAATCCTCAAGTTAACCATGGTTGAACTTATGATTTATACTAATATCTACACTTTATGAAATTGCTGAATATATGAATAAATTCAACTGAAGATATCATATCTTGATTAAACTACTTGTCATTCTCTTTTACGTAAATAACAAGTGATAATTGTATGAATTGAGGACAGACATTTTATCAGTCGTGATAAATTTGAATTTTGAAGTTAATTTTGAAAACACGCTTATTTACTCCCCCGCTAATATGCGTGTTTTCTCCCCGCGCCCCATCATTTAAACTTGTCCATTCTCGACTTTTTGCTTGGTGGGGTCGCAGGAGCACAAATCAGCCACCGTAGTAAAGTGAACCTTTACCCCCATGCTCTATACTGTGACTAGACTAGCTTCTAATTTTTTATCACGATAGTTGATAGTGGTACGTTCTCAAAGATGAACTCATTTAAGGAATTCATCAGAGTATGCGGTTTCAGAATCTCTGCATATTTCATTTATCTATGTTGTTATTACCCTTTTCACAATTGAGCACATTTTTTTTAAATACATAGATTGATAAATATTTGAACTAAACAAATTTAGATAATAGACAATCGAACTCTACATGGTTATCTAGTTTATTTTATCATACTTGAAGTAATTATCATAAGGTAATGATAAGTGATTGTCAAGAAAAAATATTTAATATTTAATTGTTTATCAAAGTTCTAAATTCATTTGTTCACGTTAATATTAATCAAATGTCCCGTAAGAAGGTTTTATAGTAGGCGTGGTCCAGAGACTGTAATGCAAGCTACATGTACCCAATTGGAACGTCCTAATCCTTATCCGAAAACTGACGGAAAGGGCCGAAAAGTTGCGATTGACATGTACCAACTACGCACTCTAGCACCGACTTAAAAAATTATTCACATGTACACATTTGGAATTTAGATACATCAACAGAAGCGTCCTAACGTTCCTAAATTAAAGTATACATTTGTCATAAACGAGAAAACAATCGGCGGAACAAATGATATTTAATTTTGAAGGGGCAGATAGATAACTAAGTCTGCATATCGCAATAAATCAAAATATGTGAATATATAGATATAATTGATAGCAATCATGTAGATGATATAGTTAAAAATTACAATGTGGTGACATTGACCGATTTAACGTCGCTGTATTCAAACCATTTGCCCATCGCCGCTGTGGGTTCGAATCACGCAAGTGACTTTGGATTTCTTCTTCAAGCTGATTCAAGAAATGTCGGTCATTCTACACACTGACACGTGCCCGCATGTGCCAGAAATGTACACGAAGGAAGCTGAAATGTGGCCATATGACCTTTTAATTACTCTGTGCGAATTAAAAACAAACTAAAAATAATAATTACTATAAAAGATATGAACGTTAAATTCTATTCAAACAGTAATGCCTAAAGCAATTGTTTAAAACAAAGGGAGGTAAAATCATATTGTCCTAAAAGTTATTGTTATTCTGGATTGTCCCCCTTGTAATGTACGGAAAATTGATTTTGCAACATAATCGGTATTGCATGGATCTTCATAGAATTACTATACAGTGCATTGCAAAAGCTCATGTTAAATACGATAATACTGTCTATATATGTATAAAATTAGACACATGGTGTCGGAATCCTGACACATACGTACCCGTCATGTCACAGTATAAAACGAGTACAACTAGTACGGACGTAATGGAATTTTCGTATCATAATGCTTCCCCTTCAGTTTCAACAACTGCGCAGATCCAAAAGTAGCAATTTTTCGGTTATTGTAAAGGTAGACAGTGCTTGCTGACCAATCCTTTGCAGCCGTAGCACGCGTGCGTAAAACCTTGCTTGTTTTTTTCCCTGTGATCCCTTCGAAAGCTTACTTATAAATATGATTTGTTTATCCGTCTCAAAGGTTGGAGCCCGTAAAGTCGCTGGCGAATCCTTAGCGGAGACGAAATTTCTCCGTCACATCTGATCTCGGTCATTGCTTCTAATTGTCATTCGTTTCTCACCGCTGATTCTGAAGTTGGTGGTAGGTCACTCGCGGAGAAATTGATCATTGCTCGTATATGATAATTTACTTTCTTCCGGTAACACGCTTCTAACATTCTCTCAAACCATTATTTGAGCCGCGTCACGACAAAACCAACATAGTGTGTTTGCGACCAGCATGGATCCAGACCAGCCTGTGCCTCCGCTCTGGTCGCAAACCCATTATGTTTGTTTTGTCGTGACGCGGCTCATTTAAACATTATAAAATTCATGTTTGCCCATTCTAAAGAAGTAAAAATTATTTGTTTCTGAGACATTATGTGCCTTGAAGCATTAAAAACTTTGAAATAAGTTACATACCAGTTCATTTTTTTATCAGGTTTGCTAACCGGTGAAGCTTCATAACGATGCCGACAGCTAATAAATTGTCTTTTATTCAGGACATTGAATCATATTACCTTTTAGTCCTGTGAACTTCACATAAATATTCGACGCATAATTAAAGAAGTCAAAATAAAATGAATTTTCACAGAACATTTCAGACGTCCATAATTACCTAAATCTATAATAATTTACAGGCACGTTTTAGTCACTAGTCTAATCTATAGATGCATTCTTTTAAATAACAATTCTCGGTTTACCATCAGTATGAATCTTTTATCAGAAAATAATATTTGCGGCAATTGGTTTGTTTAATTTTTATGCCGATTTTCAGAACTCGTCAGTCGATGCTCGTAATCGTCATTCCATAGTACCTTTGTTAGCATACTGTATTATGATTGGCTTATACCAATGATAAAATATTTGACAGGACAGCCCGGAATATATAAAATAAAAAAAAAACAGTGGTGACCTCATGTTTTATTCCAGCCCCGCACGCAAAAAAGGACAACTTTTGTTATACTTAAAATACGGCGTGTTTTTTTTTTAATTGGACATGACATCTTTAATCCTTACTTCAAATATTATCCATACTTCAAAATCTATTTATCGGGTTTCAAAATAAACTTGATTGTTTAATTTTCCCTGTTTTTGCGGGTTTAAACAAAATTAAAACAGGATGTTTGGTGCATCTTGCATGTTTGTTTAGCGACATTTAATGTAAACAAACTCATCGGAAATGATCTTCTTTTTCTGTCTTAGACACTTAACATATACCTAAAACAGATCTGTGTTTCAAAATTTTAAGAACAGAAATAAGTGTTTACAAAGTAGTGAAGTATGCTCCAACTTGTTAAATGAAATGTTTCCCGTTTGATATATTGTATTTTTCAATATTAATTTGTTTTACCTTAGTTTTAATCTTATTGTGCATATTAAAGGGACTCCACTGAGAATTTGTATATTAATGTTCCAATTCATGTAGGTATAAACCAATTACGTGTGTGCAAAACTATTTCAAATCCTTCGCTATTATCATTTTTGTTTGCTTGTTGTTGTTGCTGTTTTTTTTCCAGAATAATTCTTCTTTTTTTTCATTGTGGAAAGTCACCCAAAATTGAAACTCGTTTCTTCACTCAACTGGGCTATGAATAGCTAAAAAATACGATTTTCAATTTATTTCTGAGTCTGAGTATATTTCTTAATTATCGTTTTGATATGTGTCCCTGCTAATATATGTACGTTAGGCATAATATTTGAAAGTGTTAGAACAAAGAATATTTATATGTGATTTAAAAAAAACAAACAAAAAAAAACAGCAAACTCCTTGACAAAGAGGTTTTCGGCCATGGTTGATAAACTATGTACAACAGATAAAACATAAAAGAAACCTTGAAATTTTATTTTCAGTTGATGTAAAATTCATTAATATATCATTCAATTTACATTCGTATGAAGTGTTTTGGAATGATATTTGATTTGGAATAACTAGTATATTTGTCATACAAGGAAGTATAGTATTTTGTCACACAAAATAGATTAAACAAAATATTGTACTACTTATATAGCTATATATCTATCAGCTGAGACAAGAAATGGCAATTAGTCTCAATAATAATATTCCTTTACCCGCTTTGATAAATTGTTTACAATCAAATACTCCATCCGTAAGACGAACGTTTGTTTTTATATAAATGCATTTCCGAGAAAGCAGTCTTTTCTTGTAGGAAAAATACTGTAATATTTCGAAAAATAGACATACATCTGACTTGTTATCGGAAATAGCATAAGTTACATAGAAACAAACACTATTTGACGGATTCAATCAATTGCACAATAAAGTAATATGCTCAGCATAAATTTATCCAAATATTTAACGACTAGCTATAGTTAACAAACATTTCTATCAGGGACTTCAAATTCTACATCCACATAGACTTCCCGTACACCTGGTGCTCCCCTAATCGGACCCGTATACTTAGGCCGCTATTCCATTTGTACGTGATCCGTGACCCGCGTCAGTGATCCGTGTCCGGGCATGTCCGTGGGTTTTATTCCATAGGTACGTTATTTTCTATATATTTTTATGGAAGTATAGCGAACAGAGGATAATGATTTGTAGAATATGATATAATTTCATTCTAATACCAAAAACAGTTTTAACATCAAAGAATAAGGTAAAAAACATTGAATACCAGTTAGGTTTCCAAAAAAAAAAAAATCTATTTAGCAACCGAAGACCAAATGTTGCTTTTTTAATCTGTCATTGCTGCATCATAAACTTATAGGTTCTCCCACACTATTTTGGTGAGTTCTTTTGTATTTTCTTTCGAAATCGATAAAGTATTTAATTTCGGTCGAGGCATTTTGTAGAGATGAGACATGTCCGTGACTGTCCGCGTCCGTAAAAAATCGCTCATCCTGCAAACGTCGCGGATGCCGTCACGGAAGCGGGTGTTAACGGACAAAAGGAATAGATTCAACGTATTCTTTGTTAAGCGAATCGGTAGCGGACGCGGATGACGGACGCGGACCACTGATCACGTATAAATGGAATAGCGGCCTTAGTCAAGTACTTTCCGTACACGCCTTTATATGTTGAATATACCGGACTGTATATTTCCGTATATAATTGTATTTGTCTCGGTGATCTCATTTTCTTTTAAATATTGAGTTCTTGTGCACACTATCTAGTACAGCTTTTTGCCATGTTTTTATAATGTTATATATAAAATATATTAATATGAATATGATCAATATTGACAGTTAAATGAATTATAAATGCCGTAGAAATGAAGATAATTTTATTTTCACAAATTTCAACAAAACAATAATAAATGTGCAAATAAAATATACTTAAATTTGACTGCAAATAAAGAAAAAAAAAAACAATGGAACTGAAGTCGACATTTTTAAAAGAGCATGTTGGATATGGATCTATATCGTTTAATCTAAACTCGTTTTAAAGGATTTAGTGTTTGACAAAAATTCCTTAAGATTCCTACTCACTGACGCGTCAGACTTTACACACTGAGCTACCAATAGCCTGGCTCTATGCTGCACCAATCACTTCCGGTTCAGCAGGTTAACCCTGAACATGCTGAATATCTTAAATGGACTTGTCCCACTTCCATTTTTGGGACTGTCCATTATCGATTTTAGGGATATCAATTTGAATAATTAAAATTTGTCAGCCAACAGTATAGAGCCTGGTCAGACTGCACGGATGTGCAGGCTGGCCTGGCTCTATACTGGTGGCAAAGACTTAATGCTTCCGGCTTCAGCAGGTAAAGGGTGATTGTAACAAAATAGAACCGTTGGAATGGAACAGAGTACAGTATCACATTGATATTACTTTTTTTATTCAAATTTGTTCAGTTATTTGACAAACAAAATAACTGAGACTGATTTACGTTTTTATAGTATCTTTGAGAAATCTCATTCTACGAAAAGACACATAATTATGCATATTGATATTTTAAAATAGCTTTCCAATAAAATTATATTTTAATGAAGATTTAAAATTGTCATATATGTACGACAAGTTAATTTACATATTTATGATCTGAAATAAGATTTTCAATAACATCGGATGACATTTGTATTATTTTTTCTAAGAACAAACACTGTATAACCTTACACTAGTTTCTATTTGTTAAGTTATTGCTGGAAATATATTTAGATATTACAGCTTCAAGTATTTTTTTTATTAGATATCTTATAACGAAAAGCAATGTCAATGAAGATATTTTTCAGATAGAGCAACACGAATCGAATTTTTGGGTACTTTTTAAGCTCTAAAACAAATGCATATTAAGATGTTTTGTAAATGTAATCGGTTATATACATAATTAAAAGAAAATAAACATACAAAGTGAAAAAACAATTAGATTTAGCGTATCTTAATCACAAAATACACTAATTATATGATAAGTACTTTTAAATATATAATATCTGTTATCCGGCCTGCGGACAAAGACATTTATTTTTGAAATAACAAACAGTACAAAACACGAAAAGGCAAATAATAAAACGGAAAAATTTAGATTTCTTCGACTAGCTGCAGTATGTTGCGTATATGTCGTGATTTTGAATAACAAATTTATATTATACATGTAAAAACATTTTACTTCCACACGAATCTTCTCTAGCAAAATCACTTAGGTGATAAATAATGCTCAATAGTGTTATGTCGCGAAATTGAAATTGCTCTAAGCGAACAACGATCTTCTTGAACAGCATGTAATCCATCCCCCAACAGAACACTGCTTTAAAAAAAATTGTCATAGTACACATATGAGATGATTGTCTTTTTTAAAAATCTATTCTTGAATTTTTAAGCAACAGTTAACTGCAAAAATGTACTGTTTAATCTCGAAAAAAAAGACTACATATGAAAGTGTCTCGTAGTAGCAAAATATGCCAGAACTGTTTGAGGAAGTTGCACTATTATGCCAATACTGAGGAGCACAAATTGACCAATGTGGTGGCGAGTTAATATACATATCTATCATAAGCTATCAACCTCAGGGTTGGTATCAAATTCATCATTCTCGTCTAAATCATTTAAAATCTGGGTTTCTAGATCCTCATAAGAAGATGACCCGTTACAATAGAATTTAACGCGCGTATCTTTTGGTGTCGGCTGCTGTGTAACAACGTCTGCATCAAGAGACGCTTGTCTTTTTAACTCACTTATCACCTGTGAGCGTCTATCAGAATACACAGAATTTTCTTCACTAGAATCAGGAATCATAACGTTCCTCATAACTTGCATGACAAGTTTATTTGTTGAACTATTTGGTGGTGAATATAATGAATTTCTCCGGTAGTCGCTGTAAAAGCTTGCTAAGTTTGGTCTTTGTGTCTGCGGCGGGTCGCACAAACAATGCCAACAAAAGGCACAACACGAATATTGCACATCGTTCATTAGGATAACAGACGCAGACGAATCTTGTCGTCTGAATTTATTAATTTCACTATCCTTCGATTGTTTTGAAAAAAGCTTTTTGAGTGTACTTGCGACTTTCCAAACGACTTCCCTTCGAAGCAGGATGTAAACCCAGGGGTCAAGAACTTGATTTAATGAAGCGAATCGGATCATCAGCAAGTCTGTCCGTAAGTTGACAGGTAAAAGTTTCGTCTGATTTATCAGTATTCGTATCTGAAATAACAAAAAATTGACAACTATTAGTGTATCACATGTATAATTAAACAAATAGAATGGGAATATTGAGTTTTATGAAGTCGTTGTGATAAACAAAATTGTAATCGGTTTACTGTTGCAATGTTGAGCAATGTAGGAATTTGTTTGTTTTCTTCTTCTTTCTTTTTTTCGGTTACGATTGGGGTTTAAAGGTCAACTAATGACTTTCTTTAATAGTGGAGGTAGACCACAACAGGTACATTTGTCAATAATCTCAGTACTAAGCAGATACCTGAGCATAAACATGAGCAGATACCTGAGCATGAACATGAGCAGGTACCTAAACATTAACATGATGTCCTAGAGAAGGATAATGAGCAGGTACCTGAACAAAAACATGAGCAGGTACATGAGCTTAAACATGAACAGGTACGTAAGCATAAACAGGAGCAGGTATCTGAGTATAAACATGAAAAGGTACCTGAACATAAACATGAGCAGGTTCCTGAGCAGAAATATGAGTAGTTATCTGAGCAGAAATATGAGTAGGTTCCTGAGCAGAAACATGGGCAAGTTCCTGAGCATAAACATGAGCATGTTCCTGAGCATAAACATTAGCAGGTACCTGAGAAGAAACATGGGCAGGTACCTGAGCAGAAACATGAGCAGGTTCCTGAGCAGAAACATGAGCAGAAACATGAGCAAGTACCGGAGCAGGAACATGAACAGGTACCTGAGCAGAAACATGAACAGGTACCTGAGCATAAATATGAGCAGGTACCTGAGCAGAAACGTGAGCAAGTAGAAAAAACGATGATAGTCTTTTTGTCTGATAATTGCTATTAGAAAGTAACAAAATATAGATTCTACGTTATCAATACACGTTGTACAAACATTCACATATATTTGCTAAGTTATGAAGCGAAGTATTGTGGTGTGGCAATGAGGATATGATTTTAATGAGTTTGTTAATAACATATTAAGATACTTAACGATAATCTCAACAAACTTTATCTGAAAATAAATCAAATGAGCAGTAAAATAAACGACACATAAATAATGACAGTAATGGACCCACAGCAATTAAAAGCAAGATTAAAGCATATGCAAACTTTCAGAAATAAAAGAATGTTTTTAATAGTGCAAACATATAACTTAATCGCCTGTTCCACTCATGTGTTCAAAATGAAATATTTTTACATTATCTTCTCAGTGTATTAAAGAATTTAATTAAGTATTTGCTGCATTTTTCAAATCACATCACATGATCTGTATTGTAACGTCGAAATCATCTTGAGATTTACCAAAATGTATTATTAAATCTTAAACATTGGTATGGAAGCATGTGCATCTGCATGATGATTTAATACACGCACGTGCAATTTTATGTTAATAGCACAATCACTATTATAAAGATCGCAAAGTAATCAAGTTGTGCTGTTAAAATGTAATAAAACAATCCCCAAAAACAAGACCTCGCAGGTTAAGACAAATTACACGCATTTAATACATGGTAAATGTAATGTAAAGTTTTATAGTTACTTTTCTGTCATTAAAACTTGTTATGTTTTGTAAAATAAAACCAATTAAAATTGTTCACATATTTTAAGATATTCGTATAGAGAACTCTGGTCGTGATCTGAACTTTACTTTGGCGCGTAATTATGTTTTATGTGGCCAAGGGCATTCTAACTTTCAACTACATAAATATGTAGAAATTACCTTGATAATGAGTAAAGAATCGCTTTTACAACATTCTTCAGGTAGTGTCTAAAACTTTTTGGTAGACGTAAACAAAATGACTAAACCATTTTCTAACCAATCAAAATCCAAGATATGTTTTAAAATGTTGATGCGTTTTCAATATTTAAACTGTTACAAATTGTTATTATTTTGTTTGTTTTTAAGATTATATCAAGTATATGTGTCAAACTTTAAGATTTTAAGTAGCCAGGATTTATTTGTGCATCCGGTCCTACATTATAGAAGAAAACCGGATCTCATGCCCTTTCAATGAAAAAAGGTCCGTTTAGCACGATTATTGAAGCAAAAAGGAAAAGTGAATCTCATTTGTTACCCGATTTTTTTCCCTGAAAAAAACTTATTTGTTTGATGACCGCAAATGAAATCTTGGTCTTAGAAAAATTACTTTTTCTGTTCCATTCATCTTATTGATAAATGGCGCTCAATACAGACAAGTAATTATCTGGGACAAATATCGATTAAGTGAATTGTTTTACCAGGATTTGTTAATCGGTCCATTAGATTCCTTCGGTATCTCTTTAAACTGTTTTTTGTATATTTGGTTTGGCGATTTTGAACAATAAGTAAATGCTAGTTGGATTTTTAGGGTTGCAAGCATATAACATGCTCTCAAACCAATTTTTAAATGTTATAAAACTCATGTTTGCCATATCTAAGGATTTGTTTCTATTCATCATCATCATCATCATCATCATAATCATATTCATCATCATCATCATCATGATTATGATTATTATTATTTTTTATTATTATTATTATCATTATTATTATTATTTTTTTTATTATTATTATTATGATTATCGTTATTATTATTATTATTATTATTTATTATTAAAATTATTATTATTATTATTATCATTATTATTATTAAATATGTTTGAAAGGAATGAAATGATATGAGGAATTGTTTAATTAGCCACTTGCCAAAATCTCGTGTTCTTTCGCAGTTTACCTGATCATTTCGTTAAATTTAAGATAACTCTCTGATGCATGTAGGATCATCATTTTAACTTTTTAGCAACTTCAAGATCGTTATTTAGATAAAAAAAAGGCTTACTAAATATAAAGAATTATACCATGCAAAGTAAAAATATGTTTGTAATTTTTTCTTGTCTACAAATATCCGATTTATGCAAAATACACAGTTCATTTATAAACTTTGCATAAAAATCTCAAAGGAAATCTACTCAATATGCTTATTTCAATGTGAAATGATATAAGAAATGAAGTCACAATTTCAATGTCAATGTAAGTCAAATTGACCGCAAGGCAAAAGAGTTCGCATTCATTTCACATTTTTGTTTGTTGTTTGTCACTTTAAAATTTTATCTTTTTTTTCTTCTTAAAACCACATTGCGGTTTCAAAATATTCATTACACTTATTTATATATTATGCAAGACCGTAATATTTTATAATTTGATTTGAAAGCCGGTGCTTAGGGGCGTGAATTCCCTTACATTTTTCAGTACCGCTCAATAAAACCGAGACTGCAACATTTTAATTTTGCCGAGTTCGGGGCGTTATTTCGGGATAACTCTTTCTTTATTGTTTTACAATATGCCTGTATAAAATATGATATAAAACGCGTCTTAATGTGCTAACAATATTAAAGAGTAAGTTTGATATACATAACAAAAATCGGTAGTCAATATCACGGCTATAAAACGTTTTTCCGAGTTCTCCCTCAAATCTCAGGATTTTTATTGATCAATGTACATTCTTTGACAGTTTCTGACCAATCAAAGATATATTTGAGTTTGAGAATTTCCTTCGGGCCTGATCACGAAATAATAAAAATAAGGAAAATTATACAGATATATAGACCTCTGTTTAAAAACGTAAATGATTATGGATCAACATTCATGTTACACAAATTATCCGTTGTTAGACATTACATAAAAGAACATTGTAAATCTTAAAACTTGGCTTTAAATGAAATAATATGGTGACAATTCAGATAAGCTTCGTATGAATTTTGCAAAATAATACGCTTTTAATACCTGACTTTAGTTTTGAGCCTGATCTTAAAATTAATAGTAAATCATTATTTTTATCCAGTTGATATTATAATTTCTATCGTCATTTCGGAACTGTTTCTAAAATGGATCACTTTTATTGCAGAACCATTCTCTACTGAATCTCAATAGAGCCATTGCCACCAGTTTAGTCTCACACCAATCTGAATATCCGGATGATAAACTTGACACATGCCGCCTGATAAACTTCGAACTTTCATCTTTATATCCAAAAGACTTATAGTAAACATTTCCGAAAAAGTGTAAAAGTTATTTATGAGATTCTGGGAGCTAAGTGTTATGATTTGCATAATTTTCAAGAGTTTTTCAGCTAGTTTTGATCAGTAAAAGTTACATACCAATTCCCGAAAAAGAAATAGAATAAAGAATTGGAAGTTGAAAAAGTTTATTTATGAACTTCCGGGAGCTAAAGTTTAAGATCTGCTTTATATTCAAGAGTTTATCAGCTAGATTTGATCAGTATAAGTTGCATAATAAATCATTTGATCCAGATCCTGTTATTTGTTTTTCGTTAACAACGGGGATTTGATATTTTCAAACAACCATTTTAGCTTGGTATTCAAAAAAATTTAATGTTCTTTGCGGTTTTGACGTGACTTCTGTCGTTATGTTTTTGTCCCAGATAAAAAAAACGGTAGGAGAGTTTGATCTGAAGTGGTGATTAAATCAATCTCCACTAATGCATTTCCCGTACTGTTTTTACTTAATTATGCGACTCCACGGGGAAAACAACAATTAGGGTAATAAAATAAACTTTAAATGATAAAATAACAGATTTTTTTTGTATCTGTAAAAATAACATTGAAAGCTGAATATATGCAGATTAAGCTTTAGAAGTAAAATAACAAGATTATGTTGAATAATATACGACGTAATTATGTCAATAATGGTGTCAGTAGTAAAATACATATAATCAATGTTTTTGCTTTGAATATTTTGCACTTTTAAAAAAAATCTTTTCTGACTGAATGTATTTAACCCAGAAAAAGTGGAATTCACGGGAGATATTTTATGTGTCAGACCTAAGTGATTGATATATACATACCATTAATGGAAGGTAACACGAGCTGAATACGACAGTAATTCCGATAAGTAGAACAGCCATCTGACACTCGGCATATCGTCTGCTATATCCGGAGAAGGTCCTCGAATCTCTGCTATTTTGGCGGGAGATGCCTCTCATTTTTGTTTGAAAGAGCGTATACAAGACAATCCCATTACATGTCACTGTCACAGAAATGGTCAGCAACGCTAAAATAGCGAAGAGGCAATTAAATCCCCGATGTCCGAGGTTTTCCGTATAATAATCGAAAAAGCACCAAGTGTATGGATATTGGAGTACTATTTCACCGAAACCCATCAAAGGCAGACTAGCAATTAATCCCGCAAATGCCCATGCGCTAAACAGAAATACTGTAGCATGCTTTTTCCGTAATTGAGCATAATAGAGATAAGGGTGTCTAATACAGATTAATCGTTCTATAGCCATAATACACACGATTGTTGTTGTAGCTACGCCGGAAAATACCATCATAAAACCGAAATATTTACACATCGCCGCACCTCCTATCCACCGGAAATCATTCACGTAAACAGCTATCACAACTGGACTGGTTGCAGTAGTGCCTACCAAGTCCGTTAAAGTTAAACCGGCAACCAGTCTGTAAAACAACTTTCTCTTTTGGTCGGAAGGTGATCGTTTTAGAACGATTAGCGCTAAAGTGTTGCTCAGGAAACCAAACGTAAATAAAACACTTGAACTAATAACACTATTATTTTTCTTAACACTTGATATTTGAATTATGTTTTCCGTCTCATTTTCAATATGTGACTCAATAAGCGAGATATTTTGAGTGACGTAAGAAGGTACCGTTTCTCCTGTCATGTTTTCCATGACCATAAATCGCACGTGCATCATATCAACAGACTGATGCCGAGCTGACTTGAACATATGTATACCACTTCCGCCTCCATTACAACTAGTTACGTCACGAGCGTCTCTTATTACTATTTCCTTTGAAAATGTCGACGTAAAGTTTTTGTGACGTAATTAATATACACGTGTGTGTTATCAGCATCCACTATAAATTTAGAATAATAATCTAAAAACACTTTGACATTCTCTTTGATCTCTATCAATTGTCACGAAATGTTCTATAAATATATTCTTTTATTTGTAATTATTTTACAGAAATGATACCATCATTGCTATATTTGCCTCTAACATCACATTTATTACGTCCAACTTTATCAGATTAATAATTATGTCAAATTCCCAAGATGATTAAAACTCGCAATAAACTAAATTCTCCTTCAGCTTTTTATATTCCACGTAAATTCTTTAAACCGCACTTGACAACTGATGCCAGTTTTATTTTTTTTTATAATAATAAAGATTTGTGACTGTTTTTTTCCCCAACTCGTTCGTTTAAAACTCCTCTTTAATCTTACCATTCGATTTATGAAAGGAAAACAAAAATCAGAATAATTGTATATTTCCCTCATCCACTGTTTAACCCTCCACTAGAGAGATTTAACAGTGTAAAACAAATAAATTCCGCACACTCTTACGGTCAAAAAATTAATTATATTTGCCGTTTTGTCCTGTAGATAAACAAACAAACCAATCATGCGACAAACTGTCCACCAATGTGGACCAAAATCCAATGTCCTTTTCTTTTATACATTAAGATATTATCACAATATCCTGAAGCATATTACTTCAATCAGGTGTTAACGGCAGTTCACGTATTTATACGAACATTCAACGTCCGCGAGCTATCCGTTCAATTTTCGTTGTTTTACAAATAAGATGCTTTCTGTATCCATTGCAATTCCAATAGTGTTGTTGCCTCTACGTGTACTGTACACGCTGAAACATCTGTCAGTAGATTCCACGCGTCATTTACCTGAAATAGAAAAGAAAATGCATGTTTTCTTGTTAAAAGATGTTAAATAAAATTTTCTAGGAAACAGATGTAAATCTATGGAAAAAAATATCTCTTAAAACAAGTTGAAAGGAATAAGACATTTGTATAAGAAAATGTTTTGATTGATAAAATGCTTAGCAATGTATGTCGCATTCATGCTGATATATATATAAGTTGCGCTCCGCAAATACTGTTAACATATTTTAGAAATATGATGATTATCATGATAATGATGATGGCGATGATGATGATAATGATGACGTTGATATCCTTTCATGAAGCTGATAAAAAGTATATCTAGAATAAAAACACATCCTATATATCTTTTTTACAACGTTTTATTTATATAAATTGATAAACAAATTCTTACTCCAATTTAAATTTTTAACTTTATTATCAACTTATAAATGAAATAGGCGGAAATATAGAATCAATAAACTGCGTATTTTCATTGTCCGTATTTTCACTGTATTTTTTTTTTCATTTCAGTGAGACATATTTTTCGTATTTTCACTGGTATCTAGACGGACTACTTTCTTCTAAATTTGTTAATTACACAAAATTAAAAGGAAATTCTTAGTTATCATAAAACGCAAATACAGAAAATTCAAGTTTTTTTATTAATAAAAGGAAATAAATCAATCTTGTGGTATGAAAATTAACATATTTCACTGGTAGATACTTAAAAAAAATAATAATAGTTAAAGAAAAACCTTGTCTATCCTCTATTTATAATATAAATAATGTTAAATTGTTAAAACTACTTAATTCATAGAACATGCTCAATATTTTTTTTTATGATTTGATTAAAAAATAAGGAAATCGTGAAATAGAGAAGACATGTGCAAGAAAAGTTTCAATAACAATTCATTACAATAATATTGATATTATACATACAATGCAATATACATACAATGCCTAGCATATATGAGTTCTTTCGTTAAATAAAGTCTTTATTACTATTATTATTATTCTACACAAAAGCTTTTACCAATGTCCGATCAATATGAGCCACTTATGTCATAAAATTATCTTTATTGCGAGAAGAGTATCTCCTTAAGAGATCCCGTATGTTGTAATTAAGGTTGTAACCACACTTAAGTGAAATTTTATCTATGTATATAATTATGCTTCTAAAATAATTTTCAAACATCGCCGAATATGTAAATATGTTTGCAAATATTTGTGCACATTATATGTAATCATTAAAATATATGCATTAATTTCTTTATGAAAAATTTCTAATTACCTCCCTTTATAAACATGAAATGTAAATTCGGTAATATATTTACAAATAATGCTTTTTGGAACTTACAATATTGATAAGCATTCATTTCAGCATTATATTCATGCTATAAAACCATAAGGATCATTAAGTTGCAAATTGCCTTTCGAACGTGGTTCGAATAACTTGACTGGTATAATATTAGACATACATATAGACAGACAGACAGACAGACAGACAGACAGACAACCAGACAGTGATTGGCGTTTATACATCAAGTTATTCGTCACTCAGCATAATCCATCTTAAGTCAGAATTGCACACATAGAGAAAAGTAATATAGACAGTAGTTCATGACGCACACCACAAAGTTCGTGTATTATTTAATGGTATTTTAAAATGTAATGCTGTGCACAAAATGTCTGCATTTCTTATTAATAATTATTTTTAAAACGGTGTGGTGCTTGTTATTAATTTCATGTATTCCTCAGACAGACAGCTGTTTATCCTTTAGTTAGATGCATGATTTAGCAGGTACATTTTCATTTATTATATACTTAGTTTGTTGCATAATTTAGCAAGTATATGTCCATTTATGACACTTGCTTTGTTGCATAACCTCGCTTGCAAATTTCCATTTATTACATTTTAAGTTTGTTGTTTAATCTAGCTAGTATATGTCCATTTATTACACTTAGTTTGTTGTATAATCTAGCTAGTACATGTCCATTTATTACACTTGTTTTGCTACATAATCTAGCTAGTATATGTCCATTTATTACATTTAGCTTGTTGCATAATCTAGCTACTATATGTCCATTTATTACATTTGTTTTGTTGCATAATCTAGCTAGTATATATCCATTTATTACACTTAGTTTGTTGCATAATCTAGCTAGTATATGTCAATTTATTATATACTTCGTTTGTTGCATAATCTAGCTAATATATTTCCTTTTATTACACTTAGCTTGTTGCATAATCTTGCCAGTATATGTTCATTTATTCCACTTGTTTAGTTGCATAATCTAGCTGGTATATTTCCATTTATTACACTTAGCTTGTTGCATAATTTAGTTAGTATATTTCCATTTATAACACTTAGCTTGTTGCATAAACTAGTTAGTTTATGTCCATTTATTTTATACTTAGTTTGTTGAATAATCAAGCTAGTATATTTTCATATATAACATTTAGTTTGTTGCATGCATAATCTAGCTAGTATATGCCCATTTATTAACTTGTTTTGTTACATAATCTAGCTAGTTTATGTCCATTTACTTTATACTTAGTTTGTTTCATAATCTAGCTGGTATATGTCCATTTATTACATTTGTTTTGTTGCATACACCATGTACACTAGCTAGCATATGTTTATTTATAATACTTGTTTTGTTGCATAATCTAGCTCGTATATTTTCATATATAACATTTAGTTTGTTGCATGCATAATCTAGCTAGTATATGCCCATTTATTAACTTGTTTTGATGCATAATCTAGCTCGTATATTTCCATTTATTATACTTAGTTTGTTTCATAATCTAGCTGGTATATGTCCATTTATTACATTTGTTTTGTTGCATACACTAGCTAGTATATATCCATTTATTACACTTAGTTTGTTGCATAATCTAGCTAGTATATGTCAATTTATTATATACTTCGTTTGTTGCATAATTTAGCTAATATATTTCCTTTTATTACACTTAGCTTGTTGCATAATCTTGCCAGTATATGTTCATTTATTCCACTTGTTTAGTTGCATAATCTAGCTGTTATATTTCAATTTATTACACTTAGCTTGTTGCATAATTTAGTTAGTATATTTTCATTTATAACACTCAGCTTGTTGCATAATCTAGCTGGTATATTTCCATTTATTACACTTAGCTTGTTGCAGAATTTAGTTAGTATGTTTCCATTTATAACACTTAGCTTGTTGCATAAACTAGTTAGTTTATGTCCATTTATTTTACACTTAGCTTTTTGTATAATCTAGCTAGTATATTTCCATTTATTACACTTAGCTTGTTGCATAATTTAGTTAGTATATTTCCATTTATAACACTTAGCTTGTTGCATAAACTAGTTAGTTTATGTCCATTTATTTTACACTTAGCTTTTTGCATAATCTAGCTAGTATATTTCCATTTATAACACTTAGCTTGTTGTATAAACTAGTTAGTTTATGTCCATTTATTTTATACTTAGTTTGTTGAATAATCTAGCTAGTATATTTTCATATATAACATTTAGTTTGTTGCATGCATAATCTAGCTAGTATATGCCCATTTATTAACTTGTTTTGTTACATAATCTAGCTAGTTTATGTCCATTTACTTTATACTTAGTTTGTTTCATAATCTAGCTGGTATATGTCCATTTATTACATTTGTTTTGTTGCATACACTAGCTAGCATATGTTTATTTATAATACTTGTTTTGTTGCATAATCTAGCTCGTATATTTTCATATATAACATTTAGTTTGTTGCATGCATAATCTAGCTAGTATATGCCCATTTATTAACTTGTTTTGATGCATAATCTAGCTCGTATATTTCCATTTATTATACTTAGTTTGTTTCATAATCTAGCTGGTATATGTCCATTTATTACATTTGTTTTGTTGCATACACTAGCTAGTATATGTCCATTTATTATACTTGCTTTGTTGCATAATCTAGCTCGTATATTTTCATTTATTATCCTTAGTTTGTTGCATAATCTAGCGAGTAAATTTCTTTTCATTACACTTAACCAGTCATACTTAAATAAGTGTAAATATAAAATATTTCTAGCATAACTTTGCATAAATGCGAAAATGTGATAATCCTCTAAAGAAAGTTGTATTTCTTAAAAGTTTATGAGAATATAAACTTTAAGTTAGATTTAATTTGACATTTAAAATATCACATTAACAGCAAAAAAACTTTAAATGTCATATAAATCGGCTCGGAATTTGATTTAAAGCAGCATACCTCCAGATTCATGCTAATTTTCATGACAAATTAATAAAAGTACCATTTAGTAAAAAATATTGTCGGGACCAAAGGAAAGTAATTTGGCCATTACAAACGACACAGAATATCTACGAAAATTACAAAAAAAAAATGATAATACATGTAATTATAAAAAAGGTAATATGCCAAAAATGTCTTAACTGCGATAGTCACTTGCAGAAATATTATGTTAAAAAACTGAAATATCAGTCATTAATTTTAGCACATTTGGAGGCATTAAAAGGAAGATTATGTAAAACATTGTATTCTTAGTGGATTGATATACGTACACATGTATATACAACTCGGAATATGAACAAAAGAAAGCTACATATATCTGTATGTCTTGAAAGGAGTCCGTTTTTGTTTTGATTCAGGGACTTCCATAGGAAATACTTCACCACTGTTACATGTATTATATTTATTCCCAAACTGCAAAAGAAGGCAATGATAGCTCATCTATATGGCCAATGTTTAATGATGGGATCTGTAACTCGACACTCAAAATTAAAAGCTTTTGAACAAAGAAAAAACAATAATAACAGAATACATTTGAGCCGCGTCACGACAAAACCAACATAGTAGGTTTGCGACCATGCGACCATCATGGATCCAGACCAGCCTGCGCATCCGCGCAGGTTCCATGCTGTTCGCTTACCAACCCTATAACAAGTAAAGAAAATGATAGCGAACAGCATGGATCCTGATCACACTGCGCGAATGCGGAGGCTGGTCTGAATCCATGCTGGTCA